AGGTGCACACTGGGTGACATTTGTCAAAACTCATCAAACTACATGTAAAATCTATGCCTTTTTTGATGTAAGTTTTGTCTACATTTAAAAAGGAAGAAAGAGCGCCTTATTAGAATGAAATCTTAGTTTGTTTTTAATTACTAAGTACCCTGACAACAGATCTCTGTCTCCAGCCGCTCCTTAGTTTTGACCTTTTTATGAATATGTGCCATTGTGTAGTGATGAGAGCACCAGGCTTTGGGTCCATATCCTGTCTGCCTCCTACCTGCTAGGTAACTTGGGTGAATTAATTTCCCTGTACTTCAGTTTTCTCAGTGGTAAAATTGGGGATATTAATCGCACCTGTCTCAGAAGTGAGGATTAATATATGCCAAATCTTTGCTACAGAGCCACCAAACAGTAAGGGCTTAATAAATGTTAGCTGTTATTACTACTTTCATAGTTTAAAAAACAAAAAGTTATATACATACATGCCTTTAAGGGGTAGGAGGGTCCTCCCCCATCTTAAGGGATTTTGTTATATAGTCATAAACCCTGGTAGTTCAGAGAGGAGAGGACTGATTTGGGAGATTGTGAATTGTGGTAAAGGCTGTTGCCAGCAGCATCCATTCTCCATTCTTTAATAACAGAAATTCCCAGCTGTAGCTGGACACACTGCTGTCTAGCTAAAAGCCACATCCAGCGGCCCCATGATTACGTGAAGGCAGTGGACAGTGGTGTATACAGCTAGTAAATTGCACCCTTGAATGAGGGCCCGCAACGTGCCTTCCGTGTACTCTATCCTTTCCATTTGGGAAATACAGACAAGAAGGTGGGACCTGGAGCAGCCGTCCCAGGCCACAGATGGAAGCTGTAGATTACGCAGAGAGAGAAACCATTTTTGTCCTCAGCACCATGAAGCTGCCCTGATTGGTCTGTTTTTATGCTTGGGCTATAACTTGAAAGAGAAGCTTCTCTCATTTAAGCCACTTAAGTTTGGGGTCTCTTAGAGCAGCTTCGCTAGCCTAATCAGTATCTTAATAGCAGGATTTTCTGTGGAATCCAGCTAACAATAGGGATCCTATTATGGCTGGATCCTCCTTACCACTATCTAATGCTGTCTACACTCGATTAAACAAGACCAGAATAATCAAGGCGGGGGGGAAGGAAAACAATTTCACTGTTAAGAAGCCAACTCTATTATTGGCCACTATTTACCTTCAGGTAGAAATGACAGAATTTGAGACATAAACCTCTGCAAGGTAGAAATGGGTTTCCAGCAAATGAACAGAAATTAGGCTTAAAAGAACTGATGGTCTTTTCTGAGGAGGGCAGGTTTGGTCTAATTCCTAACTGTGGTTTGTCTAACTCCAACCCTAATCCCTAACTCCATTTATGACACCAGATCACAAGAGGGCCAGGGACCGAGTCAGCCCCCTCCCCATGATTGAGTGGGGAGGTCCAGTTTTCACATGGGTCTTGAATATCCTTTCAGTGAGAGAAGGAAAAGCGTGTGAAACAGCCGCATATGATGTTACACGAGGTGGGACTCTAGTCAGGAAAGCAACCAGGTGATTTAAGAGGGGAATGTAGTCCTGGGAGTGATAAGGGACAGCCATAGCAGGAAGCCCCTGGGACCCTCAGAGGAGGGCACTAGAGCCCAGAGATGAAGATGCAGCCACTGAGGAAGCCTCGCTGGGAGGGGAGCCTGGAAATTTCATTTGCAGATTAGCGAAGGGGTTATTCTACACAAAAGCATCAGGTTCTTGCAGAATTTTAAAAGGGCTTCAGTAAGGGTAGATATTTACTCCTAATTCATAAATCTGCTCTGCTAGCAGTGTTCTGTTTTGGTTGACTATATGTAGCCACCATTTCTACACCAAATTAGCAAGGAAGGAAATCCTCCAACTGGTATTTGTTTACGTCTCTAAAGTCACTTAAGTAGGCTAAGTGAGGCTCATCTGTTCCATGAAATCCACGTGCTGAGGGGGATAAGAGCCCCAAGTGCCCTATAATCTAGTAGGAGAAATAGGGACTCTCCAGAAATTATTATAATAAAAAGAAAGGTGATGCAAAATGCTATAGACTTAATTCCGTATATGTAAATGCACACAGGGAAGGGTCATGTTGAGTTGGGAACAACCAGGGAAGGACTTATAAAGGAGACAGCAGTTCAGCTAGGCCTGTTTTCTGCTCACTGTCGCATCTCTAGGGAACAGCAGTGTGCGGCAGTCCCACCTCTGCAATAGTCCACAGCCCTTCCTAGGTCCACTGACGTGCTGAGCGCGTCAGATCTGCCCTGGTATGGGTGTGTTCACAGCTCTGAACCATCAAATGCTACAGATCAGGTTTCTTCCCCAAGCAGAGCTGGTTTTTAAATAGCTCTGGGTATAGTGCTTGACATCCACAAGCACTCAGACATCTGCCTAGTGAGATACAGCATGGGAAGTAAGCGAAAACGTCCAGGCAAGGCATGGGGCCCTGCCGGCCTGCAGCAGGTGCTGGCGCTGGTCAGGAGAGAGTATGTCATGTTGCAATAACAAATAACCTCCAAGTCTGAAGAGGTGTGGAGAACAAGATTATTTCTTGCTCTTACTTCCTGCTATTGCGGGTCAGCCGCTGCTGGGTGCTCTCACTGACAGGTACCACTCTAGTGATGCTGTGCATATGGCAGAGGGTTTTGCAGCAGCCAGTCAATGCTCTGGCCCAGAAGGGACACACCCCATATGCCATCTCATTGGCTCAAGCCAGCCAAGCTTCCTACCCGAGTGTCCATCTGCAATCTCCCCAGAAGGCAGAGGAGGAAGACTATTTGATGGAGAGCACTAGTGATTACTGCAGAACTCAGTAACAGTTGAATGAACTAAGAAGAAAAGCTAGAGAGGTTGGTTTGGGCCAGATTATAGAGCATTTGAAAGCCAAGCTGTGTGCGCTGAACTTGATCCTGTGGGATCAGTGGATCATTAGAATGAATGAGCAAACATGTGCTTCAGACAGGAGTGGGAGGAAGAGGATTCTGAAGGCCGGGAGACTGTTACCGGCTGGCTCCATAACTAAGCCGGCTTCTAAGCCAGTGCAGAGGAAGAAGGGGCACAAAGCAGAGACACAGAAGGAGCTGTGGGCGTGGGCTGGGCTGGGCCAGTGACAGGAAGAACACCGAGGATGGCGAACCTTGAGGGTTAGGACACCAGAGTAACATAACAGCTTTCCACAGAGAGACTGAAGTACTGGGAATATCACTTTGAAATGTCCATCAAGTATTTAGAAATGCACATTTAAAACTCATTTAAAGCTCACATACAAATTGAAGTGTCCTGTGAAACCCTTTATAAGCAGAGTACTATCCCTCTGTGGAGTTCTGACCCAGATTATGTGTAAAAGGCCGACAAATCATTTCTTCCAGCGATTCTCAGAGAAGTGGAGGAGAGCTGAGTAGATGAGGACCTCTAGGTGCTTCCTGAAGCCACTGCCCTCCCTCCTCCAGGTGCTGCCATGAGCGACACTTCAGCCTGGCCCAGAAGCACGCTGTTCTGGAGGGACATCGCTGCCCTGCTTGAGGTGCTACCTCCAGCCCAGAGAGGAGCCTGGACATGAGAAAGACCTGTCACAGGAATTCTGTCCCACACGAAAGAGGCACACAAAGGGATCTTCAACACAGGTTAATATCTTCCCTTGTTCCCAGGAAAAAGGTGTTCGCAAACTATACTTTTTACCAGAATCTGCAACATTCATTGTCAAGTGAAAACATGCATCAAGGAAAGCAGAATTCCAATAAATGCTGCTCTGGTTTTACAAGTTACTGATGGCTGAGAATTCCTTCTTGTCTAGGTAAGGCTCAGACACTCTTCCAATAGCTATCATGTTTATCCATTACACTGGATGGCAGTGCCATAAATAACCCTAGTCATACTCCCGACATAATGTGTACGAGGTACGAGATTTCTGAGTGACCTGGTGATTTTTAAACACCGAGCCTCCCATCAGAGGTAAGTCCTTGGTCCTACACTCAACACACCTTTCTGCCAGGACTTGCCACCCCTCTGAGCCAGGGAGCAGCTGCGCCTGTAAAGCTGCGCCCACACTACTTTTGTAACACCCACTGTACAACACTATGAGGATGTAGCCCAGAATATCTATTTGATGAAGGAGATACAGCTTAAAAAATAACCCATTAACTAGTTAGTTCAGTGCCTGCAAATGTTTAGCAACTTTATAGGTAAAAGGAAAAGGTTCAGATACATATAACTGTTCACTTCATGATTACTCTAGGGAAAAAAATCATTGCATCCTCAGTATTTCAGGAAGTTAAGGTCACAAAAGGAGGTGGTCAGGGAATCGTCATTCAGATCTGACCCTTGGTTACAGAAGCTAATACAGTGGAGTCATGGGAAAAAAATGCGTAAATTCCACCACAAAATCAAATCTGTGATCACTGGCTCACTTTGCTTCTTCTGTATATTTTTTTTCCCATGCTGTGTAGTAATAACATTTAACTGAAGGCTCTCTACACCTGCTTACTTTTATTGATCAAAAACAAAGTCTGGATGAAAAAGTCAGGTGAAACTGGGGAGCCACAAAATAGAGACTTAGAGTCATGGTCCATTTGCTGTCAACGAATGACGATGAGTAGAGGCCTGTGGCTAGATGGCGGTGCCAAGGACAGGGAGCACGTGGGTGCACGTCTACAGCCTCAGGAGCAGCTGCCAGCCTTTTCTCAGTTTGCTCAGAGGGACGTCCCCTGTGGTTCCCATACACACTTCCCTCCTTTATACTTACTTGCATATGGTAACAAGTGAAGTGTGACTAACAGGGAAGAGACAGGGAGAGATGCTACTGTTCTGCTGTGGTCCAAAGCAACCACAACAAGTTAGATTTCACAGCCTGTCTAAAACTTTGGCAGAACAGTAAAATTCTCTTTTAAGACATGTATTTGAACAGAGTTTGTAACAACATGAGATAAAAGTTGCTCCAAAATATGACAATATAAATATTAAAATGAAGCCCCCAATGAAATATGAAAATCTTTAACAAAAAATAGTTTATTGCACAAAATTTAAGGAATTCCCAAGCACGCTTAAATTTATAAAAAATCAACATGCTTTTTAAAGTTACAATTTGTTTTGCATGGCGACACCTTTCCCTTGAACAGCCCCAACCTGAGGACTCCCTTTTATGAGGAAATTTTTAATAGAAATGAATAACTTAAAACCACCGAGTTTTCTAGACCCTCTAAAACATTACCCTCAAGGATCCTCTTATAACCTGAGACCACCATACAATGAGATTTGCCTGAAATGTGGATTCAATCAACTTGCTTGAATAAGGCTCAGAATGTCTCACACATTGCAGCATTATTCATGTCAAAGGGATCCTTGAGGAAGGCTCAAGGACATTTCTCTTTCAGATACACTGGTCCCTTTCACTACTAGAAATCTTTACACACGACACTGAATTTTTGTTTAAAAAAATACTCACGGAAGTAGGAATATATGTCATGGTGACTTTGCAGGCTGATGGCTTTTGTGATATCCCTATACCAAAAAGTCTTTAAACTGAGAAAGAGGTGAATGAGAATCTTCCTAATACAGAGTACCGCAGGCTGTCTTCCTGGCAGGCCCAGTCCCGTTACCTGGACCCCAGGCCAGTAAGAGCCATTTCATATCCTATCAAAAACACTCCCTGTTAGACCTTCCAAATAGTAGAACAAAGGTGTATAAATCTTTAAGATCCGTGGCATCTATCTGACGTGTACCGTGGAAAAATCAATGATAACCACACTGCAGTAAGGTTTTTTTGGAACATGAGAAAAACAAGTAACGATACCACAAAGCGTCCGAGCCAACATTCTCTGCAGTGAAGACATGATGCACAGTGTTCATCGTACAAGAGGGATAATATACACCAATGAAATGCAGTGGCCAGCCTGTTTTTATAAATACTCCACACTTGACTGTTTTCCATGAGTAAATTCCTAATTCTCACTTCTGCCAATAGAAGAATATTTCAAACATTATTCACTGAAGAATCTAGCTCTGAGAGGTAGAAGTGCCAGTAAAATCCCTTGGAGATAGGAAAAAAAAAAAACCCTCAACAAATCAAAAGCAGGCAATTTAGAAATCCAGCTTCCTCTTTCGGGTGACTTGTTAAGGAAGCCCAAAGGCGATGTCAGCTTGAACACAAGGCCCCAGATGGGCAACAGCGGGCCATACGTGAAAGCCCCAGGAGCACAGTGGGCCAGGGGACAGCCAGAGAGCTCAGACCACAGACAGGCTGGGCACTTGTGGAACTGAAAGATGGGGACTGACAAAGTGGGTACAGGATGACGACAGAAAGCCAGAGGAGGTGTGGCTGCTGAAAGCGTGCACACACATGCACACACACACACATGCACACGGAGGGTAACTAAAGTACGGAAAAAGGGGTGAGGAACAGAGATTGGCTTTCACGTGATGGAAACATTCAAAATTAGCTTATCCCTTCCTAAGAACAATTATACACAGTGAACGGCATTCACTGGAAGACCTTCTGGAAGCAAGGAGAGAGAAAGCAGCTACAGGATGAGACTAAGTGTTATTTCTTGGTTTTAAAATTAAACCAGGATAATGCAGCCAAAGTAAATAAGAACGTAAATTACCATTTTTCTTTTCTAATGGTACAAAAACAATTTTGTCAAAACCGATTTCCAAGGTAAGATGAAAAGTAGGATGTAATTATAATGAAGTTTTCAAGTACTAATATTAACCCTGTACAAATGATACATGTATTTTAGAAGTTCCAAAACTTGCTAGGGAATTTTTTTTAAACACTAAACATCTTTGAGGTTAATGCTACTTTAACCTTACCAATTAACCCGCTAACAGCATATTATAAGAAAACACAAACAGCTTAAAAATACCATACTGTTTTCTCCACAAAAGAGACACAAGTAATATATCAACATGAGCATATCTGGCCTGATCAGTCACACTTCAAAACTTCATCTTCAGACCAGCAGATCTGCACAGGAGGCCATGTGGACCCATTCTCTCTCTTCTCTAACTTATAATAATAAATACTATTTTAGATTTTCTTAGCAAAATAGGAGGACAAACTTAGAAACCTCAAGTCTCACAGTCAGTTTCTGCAGTGTTTAAGTATTTCAGGTGGAAAAACGTATGCAATTAAATCTCACATACTTAGGGTGCCTGATTTCAAATAAGGCATTCTACTATGGAGAGCAGGGGACAGCTCAGTCACCTTTCCCCAGACTGCTGACTTGTCCCTTCTAGAAACCTCACTGCTCTCTAGACAAGGGTTTAAAGGACCTTCTAAGCCATCTGAAGTCACCACGGAGTCCAGCTTTTCTCTTGATGACCACACAGGCCCTGGTGGACATTTTCATGTGGGGTACAGAGTGCAAGGCCTGGAGGAGCCTTGTCACCTGGGTTGGAGCCCTGCAGAGAGCTCTACCCTCTCCTCTTCCTCCTCACCGTTCTCTCCTCTCCTGTGGCCTCTCCCCACACCTCACAGGTCAGTGTGTGGTGACCTCAGCGTCCATGTGGGCATCCTGGTGGCTGCCAGGAATGCCCAGGGGTCAGCAAAGGTGAGTGAGGCTGCGCGGGGCCAGGGGTCAGATGGGTGGGCATCGTGCGCTTGTGACAAGGAAAAGGCCCTCAAAAATAAAGTGAAACAAAAACAACAAAAAACCCTCTCTAAGAATATTTGGTTTTAGAAGGCAGAGTAAATAAGATAATTATATTTCTTAAAATATAATTTCTGACTGATATCCCTAAATCCTACATGTACATTATTTCCTGACAGCAGATTTTCAAAAGGCAATCAATCAAAAGACAATTCGAGTCATTCTTAAATAATGCGAGCATATACTTTTTAAAGATTAGATTATGATTTTCTGTATTTATATACACATCCTATGGTGGGATGGCTATTGAAAATAAAATAAAATAGAAACCAAAGGTGCAAATAAAGTTTCCTTTCTGCAGGGAGGTAAAGCTCTCACTGAACCAAAGAAGAATGTGAGAAACCAGACCCGGCCGTGTTTCCACCAGGGATGAGCTGGTTGGCGTTACCCTCAGAGAGCAGCGTCTACTGTCACTTGTAAGATTCTCCTTCTGCAAATAACCCTTCAGACACATTCAAAAATTTCTCACTGAGATCTGAACTAAGTTTTTAAGATTTGGTCATTTTGTGGGAAAAGCTAGTTGTGATCTGGAAACGACGATTTCTCTAACCTTTGCCTCTTGTTCTGTTATTTTACTCCTTGGAAAGGCAAACACAAAACTTAAATTTCACCTCTTAGAAAAACATAGAGGACATGGTCAAATAAATAATATTGATAAGAGAATATTCCTCTGGGTAGTTACAAACACTCGGGGTGGGGATGCTCGGCAGTCGCTGCTCCAAGCCCTTCTCTGGAGGTCCCCCTCTGGCTGTGTCGCTCTGTGTCTCCCCTGGGGTTGGCGTGATCCTCGGGGAGAGCGGGGCCAGCAGCAGGGTCCCCCTGAGTCCACGAGGACAGCGACTCATGCACAGTGACGGTATGAGCCTCCATCTGGCGCTGCAGGCTGTCCATCTCCTGCCTGGGGAGACAGGGGAGGCAAAGGAAGAAACACCAGTCAGAGGAGAATCAGGAAAGACACCGCTGCTTCTCCAAGACGCAGCGGCCATCACGGACACCAATCCTAACAAGCTTGAACTGGACAGCAGTTTGCTCATGCATCTGTGGTGACTTCAGGGACCAACAGAACTTCTCTACTTGGACCAGCAACACTGATGTAGTCACAGAACTTAAGGGACTATTGGGCATTTTTCTCTGTACCGTGCAGAGGCCAACAGGCTGCAAGCCTCCGCACACACAGGCTTCTGATCAGGGAAAATGTGGGAAAGACAGAGTCAAGGGTCACACATGGCTTCCACTCACAGGGTCAAAAAAGATGTCACCATGTGGCCACACCCTCCAAACATTGGCCTCACGCTGGCAGGTGCCAGATGTCCAGTTTTGGTGTTTCTTTTTTTTTTGAGGAAGATTAGCCCTGAGCTAACATCTGCCGCCAATCCTCCTCTTTTTGCTGAGGAAGACTGGCCCTGAGCTAACATCTGCCCATCTTCCTCTACTTTATGTGTGGGATGCCTGCCACAGTATGGCTTGCCAAGTGGTGCCATGTCTGTACCCGGGATCCAAACCAGCGAACCCCGGGCCGCTGAAGTGGAACAACCGGGCTGGCCCCTAGTTTTGGTGTTTCTAAGGGCTCAGGTCCTGGTGACTTAAGGTCTTCTCAGGGTAATTTAGCTCTAGGCAATTCTCACCTTACAATATGGATGGAGAGGCTGAGTGGCCCCACTTAACACACTTAACAGCCTTTGCTGAGCATTCAATGCTGGCAACAAGGAAGATTCTTCCAAGTTAAACATGCAATTTATTTTTAAAGACTAAGCGAAACGGAGAACAGAACACAGATCATACTTCAGTTGCTGGAGACAGCTGTTGAGGTTCTTGAGGGGCTCCTTGCTCACGGCAGGTGGGGGCCTTAGCAGCTCCTCGAGCAGCGAGGCTGGAACGGGGCAGTCGGGAATCTTAACTGGCGTCACTGGGCTGGAAGAGCTGGCCTCGCCTTTCAGTTCCTTTCTCTGATTTTAAAAGCACAGTTAGCTCTCACTTGAGGCTGATACCACTGCCCCCTCCCCTACTTGGTCTGTGACATCACAAGAACTTTCAGAATTGCCTCCCCAGCTCCACACATGTCTTCCAGGAAGGCACGTCCCCCTCATCCTGTACCAGCAGAGCTGGCAGGCATGGGAGTTGAGGAAATGCCGGCTGAATAAAAGGCCATCTTCCTAAGGCACGTAACAGAGCACAAACAATGCAGTCCACTCCTGAGGAGGACAGAGCTGAATCCCAAAGGAGAACTCCCATGTGGGGCTTCCAAGAAAGACCATGTCCTTAACTCTGAGTTACCCTAAGAAATTAAGTCAATTTTCCAACTCCATAAGACTCCCCTGTCTAGGACTTCAAACTTTTTCCAGGGACAGGGAAATGATGCTAAATAAACCTCTGAGTCTGAGCAACTTCATTGGACCTGGAATATATTTGTATAGACTGAGTAGAGAAACAAATGCCAGGTAGGCAGAGTCTGAGCAGAGCTCGTGATGGCAGCTTCAGGGGTCCCTGGGCCCCCAAGTCCATTCTGACAGCTGCTGTGTGCCTGCTGGGCTCGCCTAGTGGGCTGGGTGCTCTTGTTAACACATGCAAAGAATCCCCTCATTTGGTTTATAAAGCATATTATAATAAAATGGCATCTGAATTCATAAAAAGCAAACATTCTGTTGGAAAAGACACCAAAATAACATCATTTGACCTACTGTCTGAGCAGAATACTCCACCATCATTTATTTTCACTCAATAGTTGCTCAATGATGGTTAAATATAAGTTTATGTCTGAATGACTAGAAAATCCACCAACCTCTTGCCCAAACAAATTGACCTGAAAGGGGTGGGGAGCCTGATACCGTCTTTGCTGTACCACGTCGCAGGTCTAGCTTGAGCTGCTGGTTTTGCTGGAGTAGAGTCTTCATGTTGTTCTTCAGTTCAGACACTTTAGCTTGAAGCATGAATTTATCTTTCTGGGTCATGGACAGATCTTCCCGCACCATCTCCAACTCAGATTTTATATTCTAAAGTGAAGTCATAGATTTTTAAAAGCAAAAAGATCTTAAACACACTGCTAACATCTTAGTTTGTACGTCACAATTCTAAGAGGCTAAAAATAGAACTCTGATTTTTATGTGATGAAGCACATGATGTCCCATCTCAGCACAACTTCCTCTCCAGCAGGCTAGCCTGTGAAACATCCAGTTATATTCATGTCCTCAATGTTCTCATCCAAATTTCAGAGCCTCTGCTGAGGAACCAGTAGTATTCCTATGTCCACGTTCTACAATGAACTCCAAGAGTCATCTGTTTAAATTTCGAGGTCAGCTACTAGAATAAGCCTAACCATTACTAAGAAACAACATAAATCAATTCTAATTGTTACTCAAGCCATCCACTTACAAAGAGGAATCTTAGCAAGAGAGATGTTCCTGATCCTTTCCTCAAATAGTCAAGACTACACATATATTTCTTCACAGAGAAGTTTATCATAGGTTGGTGAACTTTTCACATGTACTCTCATTTATTGGACTTAATGAGATCCTATTCCTGACATATTTCACACAGCTCAGCCCAGGGCATGGTCTCCGGTCAGCCTCCTTCAGCTAGGTGACCTGGTCTTCTTTCTGAAATGGGATAACGTCTACAGAATGGTTTGGTGGGAGCATTCAATTTATTGAGAACTCCTGCTACATACTTAGCATGCTGCCTGGCACAGTAGGTGGACTCATGTTAGGATTATCAACTACCTTATGAAATGCTGCCTCTGATTTCTGCCCCATGGCCTTTCTACAACAGATACCTGTAACAGCTGCTGTATTCCATCCACTTCTTTTTTATTCTGCTGTTCAGTCAAGTCCAGCTGCTGCTTCAAGGATTGGATTTCTCTCTCTTTCTGATCCACCTCCCATTTGAGATTTTCCATCTAGAGGGAAAAAGCCACATGACCAAAAGAATTTTAAAGTAGCTTTCTTGCACTATAAAATTGCTCTAACTAGATCTCTGTGTATCGTTTAATATCATACTTAGAAAAAATAAATATCCCTTTCCAAGTAGACAGGGAATGAAGGAATTGAATCTGTCAACCAGCAGAGTCTAGCTCTGTAAGTCCTGTTAACTGCAGGTGTAAAGCTGCCCGGGCTGGTCACCTCTTGGTTTCCTACAGGCTGCTTGCTCAGCTGCTCATCCAGCTGCTTCTGCAGGAGCTGAAGCTGGGTCCGGGCTTCTGCCAGCTCCACCTGGAACTGTGCTATTTCCTGGGAATGTTTCCCCTCCTGAATCCTAGGATAAAAACAAGGAAGAACGAAATTACAGCCTTCTTCTAACTTACCCTCCCACTCTGAGAATCTTGTCAGTTGAATGCTATCCGTCCTGGCTAAGGCTCATGATGACAAAAACTCACATACTGCTTGCCTTGGGCAGAGACTGTTTTAGGAGCTTTGCGATGCACTGTCTTGACTAACCTTCACAAAACCCCCTGAGAGGGATGCTTTGTTAGCTCATTTTACAGATCTCGGTGGGAGGGAAAGGGCCACAGGGATCAGTGCATGTGCAGTGCCTAACATGCATCCCTGCACGTGAGTAAGTGGAGGCTGCCCTAAGCGGAGCCTACAGTGAGCCTCGGTGGGGGGGACAGCCCTTGGGGAAAGTGTTCCTCACACTGGGGCTCTCTCTGTTGTCAACTAGGACAAGCAAGGTGCAGAGTAGGGACAGCAGTGTCAGGAAGGAAATTTTCAAGTTAAGCTACAGGCTTCTTGAGACAGGAATCAGATATATTCTCCTTCTTAGATGTGCCTCCAGAGTACTCAGCGACTTGCTAAAACATACATGACTTTAACGTGAATGTCCTGGTTACAGACGGCGGAGAAGAATCCTCATGAGGACATCTGGTGGTGGCGCTCCCGCCCACCCCAGAACAAAGCTGACCCTCTGCCTGCCCGGACACTCACTGCAGACCATCGGCCTCTGCCTGCAGCTTCTGCACCAGGTGTTCCTTGGCCTGCAGCTCCTTTTTCACCTCGCTCAGCTCTAAGGTGGCGGCCTTAAAATGGCGGCGGTTATGCCCTGCTTCTGCCTTGGCAGCAGCAACCTAGAGGAAAGGGACCAGCACCATCAGAAAAAGGGCAAGACCAACGCAGAGTGCCGAGTGCGGCATTCGCACCAGGGAGCCCGCCCAGCCCCACTCATGTCCCAGCGCTCTTGCAGGTTTCTCTTCCAAAGCTTTTCAAGTTCCCCACGAAGAGTCAAAGTACCTAACACATGCTTGCAAGGGAATACAGCTGCTACCTCCTGTTGAATGAACAAACATGCTCAAGGTTTTCTTGGTGTAAACAGTTTTTATAGTCTTATTCAAGTATATCTACATATTTCTCTCTTTTTTGGGGGGGGGGGGGGTGGTGGTGAGGAAGATTGGCCCTGAGCTAGTATCTGTGCCCATCTTCCTCTATTTTGTAGGTGGGACACTGCCACAGCGTGCCTTGATGAGTGCTGTGTAGGTCAGAGCCTGGGATCCAAACCACAAACCCTGGGCCACCAAAGCAAAACACGAACTTAACCACTACGCCACTGAGCTGGCCCTTGCTTATTTCTTATTAAATTTATTTATAGCTCATGTATTTTGGGAGAAATCTACTTTTCCATCATACCATCTAACTGTAATTAAGTTATTGATTATTACCCATTTATGATATACCTAGACTTTTCCTAGATGACAATAGTTTCTCTCAAGGTTTCCAAGGAGACAAGCAAATTCTCAAAAACAAAATTTTCCATTTTCTTTTCCAATAATTTAGTTTTCTAGTTTAATCCCACTAGCAAGCACTTCATTTAAAAAAGTTTTAATGAAAATAAGTGACAGAGGAATATAGAAAGAACTCTTATAAACAAGTTTAAAAAAAAACTCCAATAGAAGATATTAACAGTGATTGTCACTGGGTAGAGATTCAAAATAACCTGTACTTCAATCTTCTTTCACTTTTTTTTTTTACTACCATGTACTATTTTTACAACCAGGACAACCAGACTAACTGTATTTAGAGAAATAAATAAGCATCGTTCACAATTAGTGCCTTTAAAAAAGAGACATCAAGTCACATATACATCATCTTCCCGTAGCACTTTTAGTTATGAGTTTCCTAGCTATGACTTCTTTAGGGTGAGAATAAAATTAGTAAGTGATACCTGAGCACAGAGCAAAAGCTAAGGCAGGGAACAGAGAAGCAGAGCTCAGAGCTGTCAGACCCACAGCTGCTCCTCGCGAGGATTCAACACTGACTGCAGATGAGGCAGATGTGAGCCAAGAACAAGCCAATAATTATTCACATTAAAATATTCTTATCAGGGGCTGGCCCCGTGGCCAAGTGGTTAAGTTCGCGCGCTCTGCTGCAGGCAGCCCAGTGTTTCGTTGGTTCGAATCCTGGGCGTGGACATGGCACTGCTCATTAAACCACGCTGAGGCAGCGTCCCACATGCCGCAACTAGAAGGACCCACAACGAAGAATACACAACTATGTACTGGGGGGCTTTGGGGAGAAAAAAGAAAAAAATAAAATCTCTAAAAAAAAAAAAAATTCTTATCGTATCCTAAAACTAGTAGTACTGTCTCATCCAAAAAATAAAGATCAATTTTTCTATCTCTATTATATCATCATGAAGAAATTTCTAAAGGACATGATATAACCCAGGTCACGCTCACTCTTGCACACACGTGCACACGGCAAACATGTTCTGAGCATGTGCTCAGTTCAGGCAATGGGGACATGAGGGTAAATAAGCCAAAGCCCTCATCCCAGGAGGCTTACATTCTAACCAGGAAAAAGGCCTCCAGCAGCAGCAGACAGGGCTGGTGATGGGCACATGCAGAGGCTGAGGTCTACTCTAGCTTGCAGTGGGGGCAGGGCAGGCCTCTCTGCTGGATGGCAAGAGGAGGAGCCCATGAAGAAAACTGCTCCCTATGCAGAAAACGGCAAAGGGCCTATACAACCATCTCTCCTGGTGGCTTTTTAACACAAATGGGGTCATAATTGTTCTGCAGTTTGCTTTTTTCTTTTTTTTTTTTTGAGGACGATTAGCCCTGAGCTAACATCTCCTGTCAATCCTCCTCTTTTTGCTGAGGAAGACAGACCATGAGCTAACATCCGTGTCCATCTTTCTCTGCTTTATATGTGGGACACCTACCCCAGCATGGCTTGATGAGCGGTGCCATGTCTGCACCCAGGATACAAACCGGCGAACTCTGGGCCACCAAAGTGGAACGTACGTACTGAACCGCTGTGCCACCGGGCTGGCCCTGCAGTTTGCTTTTCTAAGTCAACACTACATGCGAGATATCTTTCTCTGGCAAAACACGTATCTATGGAGCTCCATGCACATGTCTTAGACACACACACCCAGGTCTCAGTTTAATCTAAGCCCACCCTTCTACTTATGAACATCAGGGCTCTCTCTAGGCTCTCACTGTCACCAACACTGTGATGACACCTTTGTTCTTGGACACGTTAGCAAACGTATTCAAACAGTAATCTCCCGGAAGGGAACTGATGTGTCGAGGGTACCCATATTCAGTTTTTAGATATTGAAAAATTGCATTCCAAAGGGTGTATGAAGTTACAATTTAAAACCAGTTGGAAGTTGGTCACACACCTGTTCCTTGAGGTTGTGCACTTTCACCTTTTCTTTGTCTAACGCGGCTTGTAAGGCTTGGACAAGCTGCTTCATCTGGCGGTCCTCCTCCTCTTTGCGCTGCAAAACTGCCTGCACCTACAGCACATTGCAGGAGAGATAAGCAAGGAAGGACATCAAATTTCAAAATCCTGCAGAGCCACAGGAGAAAGCACGGGCCACTCTGATCAGCACTATGCGGGGAATCTAGCAAGACAGTGGCACACATCACATTACGATACCAACTAGTGTACAATTCAGGAAAGTAGGGAGAATTCCATTGCTGGAGAATATTGTTATAAGAAATCTGAGATAGCAGGAGCATGATCACATGATCGTACACAAGTATATGGCCAGGAACCCAAAAGATTCATATAAATTAGGGTTTCTAAATGTAAATGCCTCCGTGGTGAGACAGGCAATGCAGGGTGGTGAGGCAGCAGGTATGAGAATGGCGGGTAAGCTCTCTAACGGGTGGATAATTCAAGGCAGAGGGCATTTGGCCGCTGACCATTTGAAGAGTTCCCTGAACGCCTAGCCTTCTCCTCAGTCCCCAGAGAGGCTGGAGAGCCTGAGGAGCTGAGAATAGGGTCTGAAGCGAGAGCCCTGCCAGGGTTCAAACCCCAGTTCTGAATCACACGAGGCCCTCAGGTAAGTGTCCCTTAGGTACAATGCTATTGCCTTAAGCTGGGAAATGGTCCCATCTGCAGCACTGGGAGTCACCCACCCACAGGGAGACTAATGGACTGAGCACAGTACTTCCACAACTTAGTTATGGGGGAGTTAGAATCTCCCCAGCTCTACTGCCCACCTGAGGGCTGGGAGATGGGGCTTGGGACTTCCCCAGACTCTCTGAGCCTCTGTTTCCACAGCTCTAAGGTGAGGGTGTAACACTTCCTTGCAGGTGACCGTCACGATGAAATACAGACAATACAGGCTGACATTCAGAGTGCTACCTAGCCTATAGCAAGTCTCCTCCTGCTTCTGGTAAATGAGTTTCAATACCTGAAGATTCAACTGAACTAGGTCTGCTTCCCTCTTGGCCAGCGCTGTTTCTAAGATGCTGTTGTGTTCCCGCAAAGCTGCGTTAGACTGTCCGAGGCCTGTAAGCTTCCCTCTTTCATGCTCTAATTCAAGAGCCAACTTCTTATTCGACTCCTCAAGGCGCTTTATCTTCCTCCTAAAGCCTCTGGATTCTTGAAGCTGAAACAAATCAAAGTCACTGTGAAGTTATGCAATTATGTGTTCTGGGTAATGGAGCTATCACACACCAGAAACAAAACTGCTTAACTAAAACACAACGACAAACAACCCGCAAACCACACAGGATGCAGCACACCCTCACTTCATGGCTGGGAGGCCTGCAGCGGCCACAGTCAGTTCCTTCCCTCACCCCCACAGCCAAGAGCCCAGCTTTCTCCTGGGGACCACATGCTTCTGGAGCACATTCAAGGTCAGAGCCCAGGTGGGCATGGAACTGAGTGTGACACAGAGATGGTGAACAATGCATGTGGCCCTGCAGTTCCTGACAGAACATCTTGGGACCTCAGGACCCTGTGGAGAGCCCTTGGTGACATCTGCTGCGTGGCGCATAACGTGAAGCCACAACTGTCTCTGGGTCTGAGAGTTCTGTGGAGTTCTTTTAAAAGTTTATGCCAGTCTGAGCTGCGTTTCTTGCATTCTAACCAGGAGTAGGACTGCCACTAAGAACTCTGACAACCACCACACTGGAGAGGCAGTGAGCACAATCGTCCTTGCCAGAGTTGGTGTCACCACGCATGTGGGCTGGTCAGAGATCCAGAGAAGCAGTCAGACTGTGCATGGAAATGCAGGGTGGTGATGCCGAGCATGCAGGCTGGTTCTGACTCTCCAGGGCCCCTTTCTCTCTGCACCAGAGCTGCACCTGGGGCAGCATGGCTTGTCCACTCACTGTGCGACAATGGAGCTCAGCCTACCTCGTCCTCCAGTTCCAGCACCTTCTCCCGGTACTCCTCCAACTCTTGGCTGGTCATGGCGATGACCTCCTGGAGCTCCTTCTCCAGCATCATCTTGCTGTGGCCGACTGTCTGCAGCTCCACCTCCAGGGCCTGGATTCTCTCCTGACAGCCAGGACAGGAAGGTGGATTTGGTCATGGGTTTCCACACGGCTGCGTGACAGGTGCTGACCTCCCTCCCTGCGTAGCCCTGCATCGTACCTATACGAGGCTGCTGACCACACTCGACAGGTGACGTGCTCCTGACAGCACTTCCCTTCCCTTTAATGGACTTAACTAACCAACTAGAGCATGCACATAGTAAGGACTCACAAACAAAATAACTTTTTCAGTTAAATGCTTTGAAAATACAAAAACATTTTGACTTACAGATGAGAGCTATAAATTAGTATCTGTGACAAGTAAGGCCCACCAGGTAACACTACACGTGTCTGCATGCACATGCATATGTGCACACACGTGGACACATACACGCACAGGTGTGCAACACATGTGTGAACATGCATGTACATGGATACACATGCTTGCTACTGCTATGGTGCAGGCACTTTTGTGAAGTGAAGTGTCTCTTCACTTAGCCATCCTAAGGAGGAGGTTCTGTAATTTACCTCATTTTGGTCTCATTTTACTGAGGATCAAAAAGGTGAGTAAACTGCCAAAGGTCCCCACCTTACAAGTAGTGAAGTGCAGACTGAACCAGGGTTTTGGCTCTTGGGCTGTGCTGCTCAGTTGCCACAGGTCGCGCAACAAGGAGGGGGATGACAGATCCTACAAGGCATTTACATCCTACCACTGGGACCGTGTAAGCCAAAGAATTAAGAACACAAACAGAAATACTCTAAAGTAGAAGAGAAACTACATTTGAATAAATTCTCCCCTCTCAACATTTTATCAAGTCAGCAGGTGAGAAGGAGTATTTAATTTATTCACTTTGATAAGAAAACACCATGCTATGAAATAATCTCTTCCTACTCGTAAATTCTTAAATGGAGAAGACATAGAAACAAACTTCATGTAAGAAGAAATAGAACTGCCAAACGTAAGTAAAATGACTCAAACTGGAGAGTTAACAAATGAAATGCAAATTAATTTACTCAGGAAGAATTTCACACCTACTGGCAAAGTGAAAGGAAACAGTGGTTAGATCCAAAGCTGGCAGGGATGTGGGGAGACCAGGACACTCATTTCCTAGGGACAGAGTGACACTGGGAGGCTCTGAGCAAGTCTGAGAGGGTTTATCACATGAACACAAACCCCCTGACAAGCTAAGAGCTCCTGCCCTGCTTCCCCGTCCTCCACCCTTCTCATGGATGCCATCCACTCCTGTTTATCCTAACAATAATCCAAAAGCAAACGGATTTTTGCCTCGGGATGCCAACAGAGGAAGAGCGCTCCCTCCCCCATGTCCAGGGTCCCTCTTCCTTCCGAACTTGAGCATCTTACAGCCAATTCTATCCTGCTATGACCTCCTTCCCTGATTCTTCCAGAATGATGCCACGGTGTCTGTCAGCAGAGCCACCTGCAATACACCCTCAACCTGGATGCTGGGGGCCACCTGCCCACTCCGCAGCTCCTGGCCCACCCTGCGCTCACACATACAGCTTTCCCTCTAGGTGACCACCCAGTGCCACTGGTTGCTGCCACCTCAGAGATGCCTCCCCATCCGCCCCTCCTGTTTCCTATTTTGCTGCCTTTGTTTAGTTCTCGTCACTGCTCAGCTGCTGCAGGAGAGTCCAGCTGGTCTCCCTGTCACAGCCTCTCCTGGCCTCAGCCGTCCTTCAACCACTGCCCATCAGTGTCCTACCGACAGGAGAGTGAGCATCTCTCTCTGTCACATGCAGTCTGTTCTCTGTAACATGCAAGATCAAGTCCAAACTCCCCACCCAGCCCCTTCGCCCTCCCCAGCTATGCAGACGCACCACACAGCATCTCGCTGCATGCCTTGCACAGAAGCACTCCTCTGCTGAGATGCCCCCTGTCCACTCCAATGCCTCCTGCTTATTCAAGACCAGTTCAAATGTCGCCTCCTCCAAAAAGCTTTTCTGGGCTCTCCAAATGCCCTGAACCCTCTCAGGCCCCTCTCACGCTGCTCACAGTACTTCATCGGCTCACAGAAATTCCTCCCCATACACTGAAGGGGCAGAGAAGGACAGGAGCGAGCAAGGAGACCACCTGCGGACCCTGCCTTGCTTCCTCATGGCGAGGACCCAGGTGCCTGAGCCAAGGAAAAAGAGGTGACATCACACACATCACAGGTTTGCAGAGATTGAAGTGAGAACGTATGTGCATTGTGGAGTCCCTAGGCACGTTGATACCATGCAGGGTATTAAAGAAAAGCTGCCCACTTGCTACTTTTGCTTCTCTTTTCTAGACTCTTCCATGACAGTTTCAAATAGGAAATGTCTGTAAATGTCACGTCCCTACACTGAGTCCCCTTGACTGGCCAGGAACAGATGGGTTACCCACGTGCAGAGTGAGGTCACTGCCACTGACGGCTGCCTGGGCTCTCAGCTGGCTCAGCTCTGCCTCTGCGGACTCCTTGGCCGTGAGGGCCTCCTGTAGGCGGCGGCTGAGGATGCCCACGGCGTTCTCGTAAGCCTTGTGTTTGCTCTTCATCTCCTTCTGAGCACTGGTCAGGTCCGAGCCTAGCCGCTTCATCTTCTGTTTCTGTTCGGTGATGGCCCTAGTGCACGACAGAGGAGACAGAGAAGGAAGTCTGAACTCACCTCCAAGGCAATAGCCCCAGCTTTCTAGCACAGAACACCAAGGAAAGGTGAAGTGCGCCTTGGAAGTCCATCCTTATCTGCCCCCAGCTCCCCTCTCTCCAGCGACCGCACTGCCCAGAACCCAATTCCCCAGGACAGGTCCGTGTTAAGTCACCCTGCTCCCCCCTTGGAGCTGTTTAAATGATGTCGTGAGGGAGGGAACAGTCCTCTCCTACCAAATAGAAACGCTTCCAGTGTTCTCGAACAGCAGCAATAAATGCAACCAACAGGTTCACGAGTAAATCACCAGGTGATAAAGCAAAGCAGGGCGGGATGCACATGGGGATGAAAAGGCCCCAGGGCCCCCCTCTGTGTGTGCGTGTGGGGTGGGAAGGACGAATGCAAACGCTGGTCTGTCGGGAGCAGGAGGGGGATGGATACTGCAACAAGCGCACAACACGAAAAATCACACAAAAACACACAAAAGGGGAGGACACTAACACATCCACGTATCTCCGCCAAATCACTAAGGAATCAATCTTCCAGCAGGACACCCTAGGTCTCCCATAAGCAGACCCTGAGCTGCTTCTCCTTGGCAAGGGTTTAATGAACAGTGTCCTCAGGAGTCTCCCTGGCCCCCGGTGGGTGCCACACCCCCAGCAGAGCTCACTGCCCCCTGCGCCTGTGCCCCCAGCCAGCACATATCACACGGCCCACTCACTTTGTGGCTTCTTGCTGCAGCTCTTCTATTTGTTTCTTGAGCACCTCATTGGCCTCTGTAAGAGCAATCATCTGCTCTTTATCAAACTGCAAAGACTTCAAAAGAAGGGAGGAAAAAGACAACATGAGGAACAAAAGCCCTCCCTCTGCAGCTGATTCTCGGACAGCTTCCTGGTGGGTAAACACGCCACTTCAGGACCACCCTTGAGGACATGGGCTTTGAAGAAAATCCTGACAGAGAGGTTTGCCCTTTTTATAAATGATCACTTTATAGAGGTCAAAAGTGTCCTGAGCTGTCTGTGACCGGAGCTTTGGAGGGAATAACTGGGAAGGACCAGCTAAGGGGAAAGCTGCTGGGTTATGTCTCTCACAGGCTCCCACCTTCACACTCGCCCGCCCTCAACCATGGGGACCTTCACACGTGCACATCAAGTCCTGTCGCTGGCTCCCGGCCCGTTGCTGGCTCCCACTGCACTTAAAGCCCAGAGCCTGAACCAGCTGCTGCAGTGCAACCACGGCTGGCCCAGGGCCTTCCTCATGCACCAGGTCACCTGTCTGGGACTTTGTGTGGTCCCCTCAGACTCAGGAGACTCCCTGGCTTTCTGCATGGTGGCTGAACTCTGAACTCAAATGCCAGCTCCCAGAACCCGTCCCTCTAACAGCTGTGCCCACCTCACAGGTGTATCCTGCCCGGACTCACCTGTCTACTCCACTTGGACATGAGCTCCAGGAGGGCCTTGTTCTAGGCTGTCTGCTCAAACCCTCTCCCCATGCCCCCACCCACAGTAAGCCCCCAGGCATATTTGGCTGTACCTTCACAAATCTAACACATGCCCAAACCTGTAAGTGCGTCTCCATCTCGTCCCGCTCCCTCTGCACGGACTGGAGATGCCCTTCGAGATCCGCCATCTGCTGATGGACCTGGGACACTTCCTTCTGCAAGCGTGAATGTTCCATCTCCACGGACTTTTTTTCCCCTTGAAGTTTAATTAACTCTTGCCTCAGCTCCTTCACCTCCGAGTCCAGCCTCTTCTTCGTGGCCTTCAGCTCGCTGATGAGCTGGTCTTTGGAGGTAGCATCCCGCCGGTAGGCCTCCACCATCACCTGCCCAACAAGACAGACGCTTCAGCCAGAGTGGGGTGAGGTCTTTCAAAGGGTCAAATGGCTTAAACAAAAATGCTCACTACTTATCCAGGGCATAACTTTTTGGGGGCTAGAGATAATATATTTCACCAAAACCCAGACACCATCAACTGAGATACAACATTATGCACCTGAACAAGCCTGGGTGATGCAAGGAGCAGTCACGTCAGCTGCTGGGTGCCTGAACTATTGCATCGTCTCCAAGGAATCTGACAATTCCTCTCCCTTCAGTTTCACTGCCTGGCGTCTAACAGTTACTGCCCTTGCTTGTATCTCACTAATAAAATTCAACACCACTTACAACGTTCCCTCAGGGGGTTGTCCCTCCTTAGACCCTTGGCATTTGGCGCCACCTGACACTCATTCCTCCAACAGCAGATGAAAGCTTCATTAACAGAAAATGTACATCACGCCCTTGTGCATACACCATGGCTTATTTCAATGATGGATTATGCTGCAATTTCTTCAAAGACATGTTAAACATAAAACTCAGGGGCCGGCCAGTGGCTGAGTGGTTAAGTTCGCACGTTCCACTTTGGCAGCCCAGGGTTCGCTGGTTTGGATCCTGGATGTGGACCTACACACTGCTCATCAAGCCATGCTGCGGCAGCATTTCACACAGAGGAACCAGAATGTCCTACAACTAGGATATATAACTATGTACTGGGGCTTTGGGGAGAAAAAAAAAAGAGGAAGATTGGCAAGAGATGTTAGCTCAGGGTGAATCTTCCTCACTAAAAAGCATAAAAAAAGAAAAAACAACAGAAAATTCGGCCTACGTGCCAGTGATGCACACTCTCTCTGACATGACAATAGGGCATGATCCTCGCAATCACAGATATCAACCCCACTATGAAAGTGCATCCTGACTTTAGAGATATTAAAATAGGGAGGGATGAGGTGCATATTTTAATCTCTGTGAAGTGCCTTTAAAAATGGAAAGAATCTAGATGTTACCTTCCTCTTACTTTTGTTCCAGTGAAGTGATTAAACCATACAGGATTTTTTTCACACACTTGTTTTACATAAAGAAAACCAACACCACACTTTTACCTTTTGTTGAAGAAACTGTTCCTTTATTTTCTGCGTCTGTTTTTTCAGAGTGGTAGTCTCTTGCTGTAGCTGCTCCACCTACAAAAGACGTGTTTGCAGACATTTCACTGATGGCTCCAGGAGTGCCCTGTGCCTATGAAGGACACACGTGTACAGATGTTAAGCTGATGGCTCAGTTCTACTTCCCAGGGTTAGGTTGACCCTCGGTCCCTGAGTCAAGAAAACAGCCTCCAGGGTTGGAAAGACAGCTTTCCAGTGAGACTGAAATGGCACCACCACTAGACCCTGCTCTGTTTTTAGGATAATAATCTTAATCCAAAGTGTAGCACCAGTGACTTCGTTAATAACAATATAGGCAAAATTCAAATATGATAAATAATGCCTAGTACCACCAAATATCTGTCAGAGTCTTCCAAGTGTCATGGGATGTCCCACTTACTGAACTAATAGGAAAGAATTCCCACAATTCCTCTGAACTACCTCCCCTACTGCATCAATGACCAGCCTCAGTGCATCTACCCGAGAAAGTAACTTACCATGGACAATCTTTACAGAGAAAACGCAGCCTCCTTTAATTTTACCTTCCAAAGACAACATGCTATTGATTTCCTCTTGTACTCAATGCTTATGAAATGGGATTTGCAGACAAAATTATTCCTTGACACTAACTCTACTTCCTGAACACCCTGTAGCTTTCTTCTTCTGTCTGTATTTTTAAACATTCACCTATGTCAAGTCACGTCACAGTGTTAGCACAAGAGCTCCCAACCGTGATGTGCAAGGTCATGTCCACACACATCCGGACCCTCAGGCCATCTCCCTGTCCGCACCACTCACATACTACAACTGTCCTGCCAATGTGACCAGTGGGTCCCACCACAGTCAGGAGCACAGGAAGGAAAAGCCAAAAGTCCATGAAGCTTTTCCCAAGTCTGAGCTCCAAGTCATCTTTGGATAGAAACTTGTTTCTTGGTAGATTACTTTCAAAGCCTCAAACACAACTCGGTTTCCTTGTTCCCGGCATCTATACACCTAGCTCCGAACACAGGACCAGAAGCACACCACCAGCTGGTGCGGGTCCCTTCCCCAAACGAGCCCTGGGCCCTGGCCTGGAAGTATTCTTCCACATTTATAAAACAAGGTGCTCAACAAAAGGAACAAACAATCTGCATTAATTCTTACATGGATAATTTCGATTCATAACAAAATGAGAGCAAACTGCATTACCTGGCTGGTCTTAACGGCTAATTCTTGTCTCAATTGCTCTAAAATTTCCGACGTTTCCTCGGTACCTTCCTCCAAGCGTTTTGCTCCTCTATCAAATTCCTCCCTGGTGCTCTTGGCCGTTTGCAAAGCCACCTCCAAGACAATCTTCTCGTTTTGTAGAAAGCGAATCGTGTCGTCCCTGGAAGCAGCCTCCCCTTGCAATTCCTCCAGCCTGGCCTGCAGCTCGTCATAGTGCGTCTGCAGGTCACCCAGGGACTGCTCCCTGGTGTGCAAGGTCTCCTGTGTCGAGGTGAACTGCTTCAGCAGGTCCAGGTGCTCCTGCTGCAAGGCCTCAAGCTGCTGGTCTCGCTGATGCAAAATCAACTTCACCTGGAAAGAAAGGAACTAGATTCAATATGACTGCTCTTGAATTAAGAGTTTATATTTTTTCCCTGTTTATATTTTAAATAATTTGGATGGACATTCTAGAGGCAGTCTTTTGTATGTCAAGTTCTGGTGCAGAAGAATGCCAATAGAAGCAAACCCCTAGTAGGTCTACAATAGCAGCTGAGTCTGATGAGGTGACATTAAGATGATCCTGACGGACAGACCAATGGACAGCCATGCGAGGACAGCCACGTGTGGCACTGGGGTGTCTATACGAGCCCAGCCACTCAAGGACAGCCACGTGCGGCACTGGGGCATCTATACAAGGCCACAGCAGGTGCTTGCCTGCTCTAACTGCTGCTCTAGGGTAGCTGCCGAGGCCGCCATCTTCTGCAGCTGCTCCTTCTCATCTTCGAACTCTTCCAGCCTCCTCTGCAGATCCTCCTCCACCATCGTTTTTGCCTCTTGAATCTGCACAAACGCGGCTTCCTGGTCCAACATGTCAGCCTGGGCCGAGAAGACAGAGTATTTTTTAAAAAGCAGGATAATCTGACAGCTACAGCAGACTAAGCAGAGAAACCCGTCACTCCAGTGAGAGGCACTCATCCATATCAGCTTCCTCTCCACAACCTGCAAATGGAGGGCCAGGGGCAACAGGGGGCAAAAGGTTGGTGATCTGCTGCCCAAAAGACAGGCCACCTCCACCTACTCCACTGTCCATGGTTCCGTCTGCTGACCCTCGGGTCTGGCCGAAGGAAGAAGAAAGGAGACAACCCAGTTTTAAGAACTGGGATAAAGTGACGGATGAAATCTCCATTTTTACCGCTTACGTGAAGACAGGTTGTAGCGTGACCCTACTTGTGGGGTGTGATAAATGAACATTCCCTTTCACAGGATTCTCTCTTGGTACCACTTGGTAAAACCAGAGACCTAGAGCCCTGGGACAAATGTGGTTTTCCTTACATTTGACCATGTAGCTAAGACCCAACAGCTAGGTGTTTCTTAGGGAAAAAATGTTAGTTTATAACTTTAGAAGTCTTTTTAGGTCTTTGACATTGAGCCCTTGAAGTATATACTTGACATAACATGATTCTATTCCATCATCCATGTCATTCATGAGGACAAAGACGCACGAAGCAGAGAGATGGGAGACCACACGAGTCACAGGATGCTGACCTTCCAAAGGACGGTGAAAGGTCAGCAACGTTCTCAGCACAAAATTGCCATGGTGTACACCCCTGAGGGCGTATATCTTTTTTATCTTTACTTTTCCCAACAAGTCTACTAAGTAGGTTTTATTATCCTCATTTTACAAAACAGGGAACAAGGCTCTGAGAGGTTAAGAAATCATCTGGGGTCTCACAATTATAAAAGAGAACAGGTCAGAGCTACTGCTCCCCACTACCTTGGAAATACTCTGCGGAAGCAGCTGGCCAAAATCATAACTACTTCATACGGTTGTTGGAGGATTAAATAGTAACGCAGGTTGAGTGCTCAAGAAAATGCTGGGTACCAGCTCCATGGCCAAGTGATTAAGTTCGCACGCTCTGATTCGGGGGCCCAGGGTTTCCCAGTTGGGATCCTGGGTGTGGACATGGCACCGTTCATTGGGCCATGCTGAGGCAGCATCCCACATGCCACAACTAGAAGGACCCACAACTAAAAACATGCAACTATGTACTGGGGGACTTTTGGGAGAAAAAGGAAAAAAATAAAATCTTAAAAAAAAGAAAAAGAGAAAATGCTTATTACCACTAGGCTCTCAAATGCTCTCAGATGTACAAGATACTAAACTCCTTCCTCCTACCTGCTCTCTGGCCCGCACCACCCCAACCGCCTGGACGAGCACTGCAACCCAGGCCCATGGCAGCTCAGAGGAGAAGAGCTCCAGGTTACCACTGACAATTCAGAGAGATGAGCTTACAGTGAAGGTGAGGAACAGAATCCCAAAACCTTAAATCACTGCAAGTTGTTCAAAATAATATTTTAAAGACATACATACGTATGTCTAAGTAGAATGTTAATGTTCATGTATACATATTTGCATAGTTTCTCAACCTTGACCAGTGTCAAAAAAAGGCCCAAACCTCCCCAAAAAACATGAGGACGCAACAGCCCCAAAAGGGGCACGGCCCTCACCTCAATGCCCTGGAGCTGGACAGCAATGCGCTCCTTCTCCTTGATGGACCTGTGCTGGGTTTCCGTCAGCTGGTGGGACAGGGACACATTCTCAAGTTTCAGGTGCTCCAGGAGGCCCGCCTGGGTCATCTGTCCAACCTTCAAAGAGAAAGACTACAGGGTAGAAAGTTGCTAGATTTCAAGCCCAAGTGCAGACTGGCCAGACCCTGAGGCCACCAGGGTGAGGGTCTCTGTCCAGCAACAGCCCCGGGAGGACAGCTCCCCAGGACCCCACCACGCTGGGCCTCCCTGCCCACCCTCCTGCCAGCCACCTTGACATTCAGGCCGTCTTGGTTGTGTGTACCTAGGAGGGGTGAACTGGCAGTTCAGAAGTCAGTGGTCATCACCCCCAAGACTGAGCAGTTTGTGGCAAGACCTACATGGAAATTCCCATTGAAGGAGCATCTGCGAGTCCCAAGGTGAGAGGTCTGACCTGGACAACAGGGACAGCCAGGGCTGGAATCTGCCCATTAAACGAACAGACCAACTATGCCCAGACACATTCCAGGCCCTGCCCTGCCAGTGTCTGACTGTCCTGGACACTTGACAGCTGATCGTGGCCATTCCCAGGAAGCAGCATTGGCAATGCAGCCCAGGGTCTGACCCAAGCCATCACAGATAGTCAGCCCCCTCTGACTGACCGTCTCCTCAAGAAAAAGGAGCCCAAGTTTACACCACTCCAACACGCAGGCCCCCAGAGGAGGAGTCAGTAAAGAGAAGTCCGGGAGCACATGGCTCTGGGACTGGACCTTTGAGCACATCCCTTTCAGATCCAACCTGAACACTCCTAGACTTGAAAGATGCCAGAAGTGGATAGAAGTTGTGAGTTTCAGGGTCTAAATGGTAGCTGCCCAGAGCAAGGGAGACGCCATCTGCTGGGATTGTGTTTCAAGGCAATGAAAGAATAAATACTACCCTGCATGCTCCTCCCTCCTGAATGTTCCTGGGAACACTTCTATGTTTCCGGGAAAAGAGGGAGAAAATCTATCAAACACCCTACTCAAGGAATGCTGAACCCGGGTGCCAAAGGCCTGTGAAAAAAGCAGTCACAATACTCAAACTACCACTCCCTGGGACTCTTCCTCTTATTTTTGTCTTCCGAATTCCATTTCTGATTTATGTTAAGACATAAAAATCTGGCCTCTTTGGGGCTGGCCCCGTGGCTGAGTGGTTAAGTTCGCGCACTCCGCTGCAGGTGGGCCAGTGTTTCACTGGTTCGAATCCTGGGTGCGGACATGGCACTGCTCATCAAACCACACTGAGGCAGCGTCCCACATGCCACAACTAGAAGGACCCACAACAAAGAATACACAACTATGTACTGGGGGACTTTAGGGAGAAAAAGGAACAAAATAAAATCTTTAAAAAAAGAAAAAAAATCTGGCCTCTTTAAATATTTTATGCCTCAAAGAAATGCACTGTAGCTTCAAAATTGCATTAACTTGTTCAATGATTTATTTCTAAGTATGTTCTAAGTAGAACAAATACTTGTCTGCATGGTTCTTTAGCTTAAAAAATATGTAATATAAATTTAGGAACACTTCTATTTTGTCTATTTCTAGACTTTAGATTTTAAAAAAGGGAGCATTTGGTGGAATTAGCATTTTACATCCCCTACTTGAAAAACAGTTTCAATTAATCTACAATTTTCTCTATACAAAAAAAAAAAAAGAAAGGAGAGAACAAAGCCCACAGGTAAATTCAAAAAGAAGACTCAGCTGATCAGGCCCCATCCAGCACCCTCAGATCAATCTAACGAGTACGGGCAAAGTGCCTTTCAGCAACTTGCCTACTGTCCTGAGTGCCTCCAGAACCGCCACAGCACACTAAGCCCAGAGGGAGTGGCCTCACAACGAAGCACAGCACTCCCAAGTTCCTCTGCACACCTGGAACAACACACTCTCCCACCTTGCAGAACCAGAGGTGACATGCCTGCACCCTAACAAAATGGAAACAAAGAGAGTGGAAAGACCTGGGGATCAAGCAGCTGGAGAAAGGAGAGGCTCTGACCAGGAAGGTAACATGTGCCGTGCTCTGTGCACATTAGAAACCACGTCACAGGAGGGCAGTGACCAGGGCAGGGGAGCTGGGTACGAGAGTCCTCAGGCCCAGACAGACATGGATTTGAGAGCTAGGTTCAAACCTGAAAGGAATCCTCCAGAGGGGATGAGACTCACTGGTCAGAACACAAGAAGTTCCAGAGAGGAGGACTTTAGAACTAAAAATGCTCACGCAGAAACTGTGAGACTCCCTGTGTCAGAAGGTTATGGAAGGCAGTTACTGTACAGGATGGCTAATTGAGCGGTTAGTAGATTTTTTAAAAATATATCTGTGAAATCCAAAAAAAAAAGTCTTTTTAATTTAGGAAAAATCCAATTGTTCCACATGAGACATGAGGTATGACCTGCCAGGCCATGTCAGGGGCCATACGTACCTGGATGTGGGCCATCTCGCCCTGCAGTCTGACCCGGGCCTCCTGGGCCAGGGCAAGCTGCTGTTGGTACCACTGCCGGACATTCTGCAGAGACGCAATTTCTGCCTGGGATGCCTTCAGCTTGCTGGTCAGTGTTGTGCGCTCCAGCTGCACTTGTTGTAGTTGGCTCTGCAAGGCTGTCATCTGTTGTCGCAGGTCATGCACTGAAAGCAAGCAAGCACAGCAGCTCAGACTACCTGCTGCAAATGGAGAGCCTGCAGCTCTGCACAGACATTCAAACCAAAGTCAGTCTCTCTGCAGAGAGCAAGAAACCCAGCCAGTTCTTGTTAATCATAGTCGTGCTGTTCCATAAAGTCACGTGAACACTGCAATCGAGGACACGGAACCATGGCTCCTGGGGGAAATACAGGGTCAGGTTCTGGTCAACTCATGAGGACTCCACCTTGTTTTACATGTTTCGGTTTAAAGACACTCACTCTACACTGTGGATTCATTAACACTGAACTCCCAGCCATGAGCACCATATGTCATGCCTGAATGGAGCTCATCTAACATACATGTTCTCTCCATAAAATACATCATAGCCTTCTTGCACTTAAGAACACCAGACAGTGTTGGGGGCTGACTTTAAATAGCAAAACCACCCCAAAAAAGCAAAAAGATGCAAAAAATATGGCAGTAAACAGACCATCAGAGACTATCTGCAGTAGGAGAGCTGAAACAAGAAGGCTGAGTGTCACACTGTTCATCTAAGCTGGGAGCAATTACTTCCCGTGACTCCCATCTTTACCAGCCTGCACCTGTCTGCAATGACCGTGAAAGTGGTGTGAGCACTGACTTTGGGGTTACAGATAAATTTAAGTGAGTAGGGGCCAGCCTGGTGGCGCAGTGGTTAAGTGCGCACGTTACGCTTTGGCGGCCCAGGGTTTGCTGGTTCGGATCCCGGGTGTGGACATGGCACCACTTGGCAAGCCATGCTGTGGTGGGCATCCCATGTATAAACTGGAGGAAGATGGGCACGGATGTTAGCTCAGGGCCAGTCTTTCTCAGCAAAAAAGAGGAGGATTGGCAGCAGTTAGCTCAGGGCTAATCTTCCTCAAAAAAAAAAATTAAAGCGAGTAAGTGAATTAGGGGATCTGCAAATACTGAGGATCGACTGTGTGTTTGCAAAATCACTACGGGTGCTGTGGCTCTAGTCCCTGAACAGCCCGATGACGTCTGTGAGCCATCAATAAACTGAGGAATGGTATTGTGTTGCTAATTCCACACTAAAACCCACTCACTTGCTGATATGGTCAACTCTTCACATTGATGAGAGCAGAGTGGGAGAAAGGAGGAGACAGAAAGTCACAGACAACCCAAATCATAGTACAAACAAAACTAGTCAAATATTTTAAAATTAAAATTATACCCAATATTGAAGAAAACATTTACCATTTTAAAGAGAGTTTCAAAAAAGAAAGAAAAGAAAAACAACAAACATGGTACTTTAAGAGGATCCTCAACCCCTTATCTGAAATTCTTGGGGCCAGATGTGTTTCAGAGTTCAGAGTGGTGAGATTTTAGAAAGGCAATAGAAGCCATCACTTCATACCCCAAATCCACTGCCTGTACCCCAATTCTACCACTCAGCACCCCTAATCCAACACAGGGCAGAGATATCTTCAGCTCAGCATGTGGAGGTTTGCACTGCGCTGTGAAATCAGCCTGAGGCTTTGTGTGAGTGTAGGTCAGATGAGCTCTGGTCAGGTCAGGCCTTGCAACCAGAGTTACAAAATTACCTTGGTGTTCACAACTTTTTGGGTTTTATAATTTTCTTAAGAGACTGGGCATCATAAAATTTTCAAAGAGTAAAAACCATCTATTTTGTTTCTCAGCTGGCACTTTCTTTTTTCTAATATCAGGATAAAACCTCTGTGACAGCAGTTTGTCACTTTTTCTTTTATGTCATCAGATCTGAAACCCAGTCTCACAAGCCTCCGGCCAAGACACCACCCTGGCAGATGTGATCCTTCACAGCAGCCCCACTAGCCACTGTCGTCACTCAGAGGGCCCAGAGCTCTGCCAGAAGAACCTTATCTGTCCAGCCTGCACTGGAGGATCTGAGATCTGGGCCAACTGATCATCCCTCGGGCTCTGATCTTCAGTCTCCCCATCCCTGCTTCCTTGTCTTTCCTCCTCCTGGCAGCCGACCCGAAATGTGAGCAGGCAGACTTGTCTTTCTGGCACCTGGCTGGGCATGGAGCATGAACTCGGAGGATAGAGCACACACCCCCAGGATGAGGAGACAGCACATGAGGAGAGGACCACACAGGTTTTCCATACATGGCCTGCCACCAAGGTCTCCTTGACTCCATTATTCCATTTGTCCATCATTCCATAGGTGATTCCCACAGGGATCCAGCTAGACCAAAAAGCTGAACTCAGGGTAGGAAAAATAAAGGTTTCCTAATCAACAACCTAAAAGTTGCTTTTAAATATTTTAAATAAAACGTGAAATTCAGTGGAATAAGCAGGCAGCTGTAGCCCCCTGAACAACACTGGACTTTGAAGGCAGGATGAATGGGAATGAACTACTGACTATTAAGGTCCCAAGTCCATTTCTCTTTTTTTTTTTTTCTGCTTTCTCACCCCAAGTCCCCCCAGTACATACTTGAATATTTTAGTTATGGGTCCTTCTAGTTGTGGCATGTGGGACGCCACCTCAGCATAGCCTGATGAGGTGCCATGTCCGCGCCCAGGATCCGAACCAGCGAAACCCTGGGCCGCCAAGGTGGAGTGCGTGAACTTAACCACTTGGCCATGGGGCCATCCCCGCAAGTCCATTTCTAAGACCTAAGCTGCTCCCCTTGATGTGCATGCAAAAATGTACAGGAGTCCATGAGCTCAACCAAAGACAACACCTACTTCAGGAAAAGTAGACACCTCACATATAAATAAGAAGGAACACAACCCTACAACCCCCAGCACATCAATATGACAAAAGTCAGTCCCCAGAGCAGGTAAGAGGAACTCCACCACAGGGACCCAACTCCCTGGGCACTTCCACAGGACTAAGGCACAGAAACACAGACCACCAGGAGCCACTCACCTGTGTTGTCCTTACTGAGGATGCTTCTCTGCATCTCTTCTACTTTGGCCATGAGTCTTTGGTACTGCTCCTCTGCCACCTGCAGATCGCTATTGGAGGACGCCAGGCTGGCATTCTTGGCTTCCAGCATGTTCTGCAAGTCGGTCATTGCTCGCTCTAGGTCCCAGCAGGACTGCTTCAAGGTGTCCACCTCCGAACTGAGCGAGTCCTGCTTCTGCTGGCTGCTGTGGCTGTGCTCCACCTGCGCCTGGAGCTTTGTGTTCAGGGCAGCCAGCTGCGCCTGCAGCTCTGCCTTTTCTTTAAGTGCCTGAAAAGATCCCCAAACAGCCACACTGACTTTCAGAAAAATAAGTCACTTCCATCCTGTGTATTAAGAGGGCTGCCAAAACAAACCAGGAGACAAAGAAAGGTGTCCGAAGGTGAACTTTACAGAAAAGCACCACATTTTCCAGACTACTCAGTCACTCTTACACAATGGTTATCCCAAAAGAAGGCAGATTCGCCAAACGGGCCCAAGAGGCAGGAGGGGGAACTAGAATCTGTTTTCCGCAAGCCAACACCTGAGCAGGGCAACAATTGTGGAGAGCTGTGCAGGCACCCATTCACCCACGAGGATGTTGGAAAGCATAGTTGTTAAAAAAACAAAAAAGCACACAAGTATGCACATGCAAGAGTGGTAAGGGACCCCTCAAAGATGGAGAGCAGTCCGAGACAGATCTAGGAAACAGAAGTGGCAGAACATCTCTGCAGAGAGAGGCTGCTGCTACCCCGGAGGGACTCTGAGGCTCCTCCAGGGCTGCTGGGCACAGAGCAGCCAGAGGCACCGTCCAGGGCTGGGTGGCAGGACCACAGGGACCACTGCCTGCAGGATAAAGCAGCCGTGAGAGGAAAGGTGGGGCCTCAAGAAGCCCCAGGGCAGCAGAGAACGTCCACAAAAAGAGGAGCAAAGGGCACGTGCCTGTCCACCAGTCAGCTTTTCACACCCATCCTACAGTCAGTCTGTCAGGGGTATGCAAGGAAATTCCAAAATACAAAGATGAGCAGACAGAGGCACATCTACACACATTAGGAGAAAACCAAAATCATGAGGACAAACAACAAATTCAACAAATAGAAGAACAAATGCCCAAGAAACAGAGTTAACTGAGCAAATGCAATGAAATTTCACAATAAGTGTAATTAGTATCTTATACAGAGATGCCAGAAAGTATCATACCCATAACAGCCCACCAAGATCTTGGTTTGTACACAAGTGAAGAGCAGATCAGCATCCCCCGAGGATAAGGAGGTAAAGTCAGGTAAAAGCTAAGGTTCTAGGATTCTTATGGGGTGAAAGTGCACATGAAATGAAAACACACTGGATGAGGTGACCTTCTAAAGTGGGATGGAAAGTGATAATCAGGTACAACCAAAATTAACCTTGAAACCTCTGCAATCACCTCTTCTTCTTTTTTTTTTTGAAGATCGGCCCTGAGCTAACATCTGCCAATCCTCCTCTTTTTGCTGAGCTAACATCCGTGCCCATCTTCCTCTACTTTATATGTGGGACGGCTGCCACAGCATGGCTTGCCAAGTGGTGCCATGTCCACATCCGGGATCTGAACTGGCGAACCCCGGGCCGCTGAAGCAGAAGGTGCACACTTAACCACTGCACCACCAGGCTGGCCCCTGCAATCACCTCTTCAATCAACAGTTTTATGTACACAAAGTGGTGGGTCTGTGTCCCAGGACCACATCGAACAAAAAAGCCACAACAAATATGAGAAATGCATTTAGCTGAGTGAGCTATTCTCGGTGCGAGTAGTTTCCTGCCACCACCCCCACCGCCCCCGCCCCAATCTGAGTGTGCGCTCCTGAAAGAAACCCTCTCCTGCTGCAACATCACACCTCTCTGTGACTGTGTGCACGTCTCCGGCTCTCCATGCCAAATGTACACAGTCCAATTCAACCGAACTGACCAACTGTGTTGACATAAAGCTGAAAATACAGGGCTTGAAAATTATCTTTCAGGCATATACTAACCAGATAAAGCAAAATTCCCATCAGAAAAAGCAGAACCCACAGCAAAAAGTATTAAAGGGGCAAAGACGACAATTTTACCATGCGAGAAAAAGGTGAAATCCACCAAAAGAATTTAAGTATTATGGATTGTTAGGTATCTACCAACAGAGCTAGGAAATATTCCAGGCAGATCCCTTTGGTGACACACGGAGAAAGTGAGCCATGCACAGTCAAGAGCAGGAAACACACACACACCTCTTTCTGAGGCTGACAAATCAAGTAGAAAAATGTGAGGATACAGAAAACTTGGCTGATGGTGACAATGATGACGATATTCTCAAAGACATCTAAAACTTTGTACCCAAAGAACAGGAATTGCACATTCTTTTCAAAGACACAGCACATTAATACATCCACCAAACATCCCTTACCTGACTAGCCTCCAATGATAAAGCTTCCAACTGCCCTTCAAGTCTCATTTTTTCTTTAAGAACCTGCAACATTTCATCATGAGTTTCAGCAACAGAGCTTTCCACGGACACGCTGGAGGACAAAGGCACAAAGGATGAGGCAGTGGGAATATGAGGAATCATCATCCCCCGAAACCTGTCCATGTTCTCCAAATTCCACACACTCCTGCTACTCTCCCCAACATTCTAAAAACTAAATAAAAAGATTAAAGTAGAGAACTAAAGCTCCTATGAATGCTAATAAACACCCCCACCCAGTGGGCATTTTCAGCCACGATGGGGCTGGAACATCCTTACTGAAATGTCAGCTCAGGTTAAGTATCCGTACGGATTGAGAGACAGGTCTATATAAATACTGGAAGACAGGATACCTTAATATTACAGACAATTACTGATTAGATCTAATTCCATTTCTTAGAAAGCAAGAGAGTTGTGTACAAATAAAATGCTAAAGACTAAGGATGGAATTAAGGGAGAAAAACAGTGTATCGCCAGCTCCAGCGACAGAGCAGGGTCTGTAGACATCACCCACCTGCTACAGATGCTGTCTGTCCGGCTCCGCATCTCCCCGTTGACCTCCTGCCCCTGGTCTTGGTGTTCAGCTGCTGCAGCCTGGAGGACATCTGTGATGGAGGGAAAATGGCCCAGGGCACCAGCTGCAATCTCCTGGCCGTTGACCACATAGGAGGCTTCTCGTGTACCCACAGTGTTCGCCAGAAGGCCGAGTGTCCCACGGGTGGAGACGCTGCTGTAGGAGGAACTGTCACTCTCGTTCCCATCAGCCTCAGATGCATTGTCTCCTGGCAGAGAAGTGTTCTCCAGGCGGTCGTCTGCCTCAGGACACAGGCTGATCTCAGACACCACTGATGTAGCGCTGCTTCGGTTCTGCTTCAGGGAACCCCTGGCAGAGTCCACAGCCGGAACATTTCCACCAGAATTCCCAGTATCTGAGTCTTCAGTTCTGTAATCAGCCAGAGACCGAATTTTGCCTGATTTTGAACTTTTTTTCTCCTTAGGATGTGCCAGGAGCCCTAAGCTGCCCACCTTTGGCCCCCGAGGGACACTGGTGCGCAGGAAGGAATATTCTTTTGTCATAGCCACAGCACTGGCCCTTGGTAAGGTTTCTGGGTTCAACATAAGTTCAGGATCAAGTGTGCTAAAAAGTCTCATTTTAGTTGCAGGTTGACTGGACTGAGAAGAAAACAAAAGCACAAAAATTGTGTTTATAATTGACAAGGAGCCTTCAAAAACTGCCAATTCAGAAAGGCTGCACCAATTATCTTCCCTCTGTGGATAAAGAGAGCACCCTTCCACGACATCTCTCCCCACCCCGGCTCCACCCAGGCCGTCTACCCTCTGCAGTCTCACTGCCTCCACGTCACATCCCAGTGACCAGCCCAGGCACAGGCCTTTAACAACTGTGACCTGATAACACTGTCAAATATCTATCAGAGCAAGCCGTTCCTCATCATACCTCCTTTACAAAATTTTCCTGGCTGTTCTCCCATGTTTATTCTTTTAGATAAACTTGAAAATTTTCTTCAAGTTAAAAAAAAAAGTCCTGTTGAATTAGAACTACCTTAAATTTATAATTACCTAGGGGACAATGAGCTGCTTTCCTCCATTTATTCATATCTGCTTGCATGTCCCTCACCAAAGGAAGTTATGTAGTGTTCACCTAGATTCTAAGCCATTTTTACTGCCATTTTAATTTCTTAGATATTTTATCATTTTGTTATTATAAATATTATCTTTTCCTGTTACATAACTGGTCATGTTAGGATAACACGATTTTTCAAATTCGCATTTTTAAACTGACAATTTTCGGAACCCTAATTATTTTAATAACTTTATAATATTTTTATAAATTTATAATAGTAATTTTTTCAGTTGGTTCTCTAGAGTTTTTCAGGGTGTTTCCAACACTTGCAAACAACAATAATATTCTCCTCTTTTTCAACATTTATGTCTCTTACTTCTTCTTCTATTATCATGTTAGCTAGAAATTCTCAACTGGCCCTGAATGAGGGTGGGCACGAAGGAAGACAGTGCTCCTTGCTGCTATTTCAACATGACTCTCACAGAGAAATAGTCAATCTTATGTTATTCTACAAAGTCAATGCAATCCCAGCAGGGCAGGGGGACAAAGGGGAGGATGAGAAACATCTCAAAATGATACTAGGATGCAACTGGAAGAACAAATAAGCAAGAATACAGGCATACCTTGGACATATTGTGGGTTCAGTTCCAGACCACCACAATAAAGCAAATATCACAATAAAGCGAGTCACATGAATTTTTTGGTTTCCCATACTATACTGTAGTCTATTAAGCATGCAATAGCATTATGTCTAAGAAAACAATGCACATACCTTAATTTAAATAATACTTTATTGCTAAAAAATGCCATCACCATCATCTGAGCCTTCAGCAAGTAGTAATCATTTTTGCTGGTGAATGGTCTTCTAAAAAATGCAATAAAGTAAGGTATGCCTGTAGCTAGAAGAGCAAGGGTGTGGGGCTGTGGGTAGACTGGACCACCAACGTTAACATCACTTTAAAGCTACCACTAGACTCACTGAGAGCTAGGAAGGCAGCAGACAGGCCAATGACACAAAACGCAGCCCAGAAGTCAGCCCAAGTATAGGTGTGGTTTGTAGACATCCCAGAAGAACCACAATACGGTAGAGCTTTGGAACAAGCAATTCACGGTAACTGACCAGCTATCCAAAAAAGGCTAATTCCCACCTCTTGCTTTCATCCAAAACATGTCAAACGGATTAAAGAGCAAAAAAAACCCCAACTTTTTAATACTTTTTATACCATCTTATATTATTATGTCTTTATTTCCTTAGTATAAGAAGCAAACATTAGTGAATTTTTTTATAGTCTTCAAACGGGGATATCCTTTTGAAATATGACATAAATCCCAAAAGAAGTAACAGCAAAGATTGAAAAATTTAACTGTAAATATTTAAAACTGATGTGCAGCAAAAAAATTATACCAGAAGTCAAAAGACGTAGCAAACCGGGAAAAAATTATTTGCAATAAATACTAAAAAGGGATGATTTCCTTGGATGTGGCTCCTACATAGCAAAAAGATAACCAATAGAAAAATGGACAGAGACTGACAAAGACACACAGCCAGCCACTACATGAAAAAGACGTTCACTGTTAGGAGATACTATTTTTTTTGCCTTTTGAGGACAAAAATTCAATTTTTGTTATTTCTAAAGCTGTCAAAGATGAGAAAGCTGGCATTCTTATAGGCTCCTAACTGGAGTGTAAACTGGTCCAGCCTATTCAGAGGGCAATAAATATCAAATAACATATATATAAAACTTTTTACCCAATAACTTGACAGTTAAAGATTTACCCACAAGGGCCGACCGGGTGGTGCAGCGGTTAAGTTCACACTTTCCGCTTCTCAGTGGCCCGGGGTTTGCCGGTTTGGATCCTGCGTGCAGACATGGCATCACTTGGCAAGCCATGCTGTGGTAGGTGTCCCATATAAAGTAGGGGAAGATGGGCATGGATCTTAGCTCAGGGCCAGTCTTCCTCAGCAAAAAGAGGAGGTTTGGCAGTAGTTAGCTCAGGGCTAATCTTTCTCAAAAAAAAAAAAAAAAAGAAAAGAAAAAGATTTACCTACAAAAGCATCCCAAGACACAAAACCTTCACTGAAGCATTGTTTGCAATTTAAAAAATTAGAAACCACCTAAATATTAATCACTACGGGTTGGTTAATGAAATGCTATTACGTACACAGAAAGCAGGTCTCCACTGTGCCCATGGAGAGGCACTCAGGACACGGTTAGTGAGAGAGGGTGTCCTACTACATAAAACCAAGCATCATCTGTGTGCGAAGGTATACACATGAAGATGCTCTCAAAGTATCTATCAGACTATAAATAAGAGAGGACTTTTACACATCATCTATGCCATTTAAATATGAGGTCTGAACAACATTCCTCACATTAAGGAAATAGTCCTAAAGAAGTAACCTCCTACTCCTAGTTTAGCAGTTTTTGCTTGTTTTGTGTGGCTTTTTTGTTTTGTTTTTGGTGAGGAAGATTGGCCCTGAACTAACATCCGTTGCCAATCTTCCTTTATTTTGTTGTGGGACGCTGCCACAGCACGGCTTGGTGAGCAGTGTGTAGGTCTGTGCCAGGGAAGCAAACCCACAAACCCCAGGTTGCCAAAGCAGACCACAGGAACTTAGGCACTACATCACCAGGCCAGCCCGTTTTGCATTTTTTGAATCAAGAGTTCTGAATTTTTATCAAATACCTTTTCAGCACCTGCTGAGATGATCCTAAGTCATTTCACGTGGACCTACTACTATAACGAGTTCTGTCGACAGATTCTCCCATCTTAAACTAACCTGGACTTACAGAAAACCTCACTAGGCAATCCTGTGTTATTCTAAAACTGACAGACAGTGCTGACTGGTGACGAGCATTGTGCACTCCATTCACAAGCGCAGCAGAGCTCTGTGCTCAGATAGGCAGGTTCAAACCCCAGCTCAGCTGGTGGCACCTCTGACTCTGGTGGTCACTTCAGCTCTGAGCTTCAGTGAAGAACATTCCTCACTAGGTCGTGGGGAGCAGGGCGGCACCTCCCAGCTGCACTCTGCCTCAGTGGCCCTGCCCTGAAGGTCTCTAGGGGAGGGCACAGGTGATGGCTCACTTACCTGGCACCTTGCTGCCTGCCTCCCTCAGTGGGGACGGCTGAGGGTGAGGGGACTGTAAAGTCAGTCAGACCAGTTTGTGATGAACATGGCATTTCCGTCAGTTTGAGAGAGGTTATCTCACCAAGGACTAAGAAAGGATCCTTCCATTTAAACTACCAGTTTTTTATATTTATACATATATATAATTTTTTAAGATGAGGAAATGATTTCACATTTGTAATTTTACATTGAACTCTTGACACACTGACTGCCTAACGTTGGACCACCCAGGCAAAGCCTGGGACTCGCCATGCAGGCCTCTGAGAGGCAGAGCGTGGACAGGCCCTGGCACACAGACGCTGTCTAGTCCGCATATCCCTCTGCCACTTTACCACTGACTGACCTCCAGCAAGATCCTTACCCATCCGAGCCTCAGTCTCCTCTTCCAAAATGTCACTTGTTTCACGTGATTGTTGTTAACATTTGTATTATATAAAGTCCATGGGGAATTTAACACAGTGCCTGGCAAATAATAATTACTATCATTATAACTTGTCGTGGGCCACTAAGCAGGTCCCTGGATGCCCGTGACCAGGCAGGAGCCTCTGTCGGTTCAGAGCCTGTGCTGGCTCCTCCAGTCTGTTTACACCAGCTTCGAAGCAGAGACATCCACAAAGCCATGGTTCCCTCTTGGAAAAACAAACGGCCAACCCTGACAGGGACTCATCACTACTAAATCATTCACTGAAAGCATTTTTAAACGTTATTTTAATTTTAAATTCTTTTAACTTGAAATTTTTCAAATCCACAGAAAAGCTAGAGGAAGTGTGAAATGAATATTGATACCCCTCCTTATTTAGAGTCACTCGATGGGATTAAAGAGACTGCTTTCACTAGCATCCTAAAAAGCTTTACACCTGAGTAAAACTGACGTTAGCCTATCATACGGATGTGGCAAATTTCAGTGGAAACTGTATCACTCACACAGTAACAAGTGAAACCTAGGACTGGCTGCTCAAGTACAGGGAGCAACAATACCCAAGTACTTGTTGTCTCCGCTTTTCCAACGGCAGATTTAGGAGAAAACATGCTTGTTCCAAGGGAAGGACCAGAAGGGGCAGGAACCAGAGCCCTGCTGGAATCTCCCAAAGGGTGGGAACTACACAAGAGAAATGATCTTTCCAGAGAAGCAGAGCATTAAACAGCAGATCCTAGAATCACATCTGACTAATTATTGTTTTCACACATGAAGTTTTCCATTAGCTTGTGCAGAGAGGGAGACTCACTCTTTCCTGCTGGCGCTTCACCCTGTACTGTTTGAGCTGTTCTTCCAGTCGTTTCCGAGCCTGAAGTCGGACCTGCTCCTCCTTCTCGAGGGGCAGTGAAGACTCTGTTGAGCCTGCAATGGGGAAATGGCCATTTAGAAACACATAAAGCTCTGGGCACAGAGGACCAATCAGAATAGCAGCTTGGCTGTTTTCTGTATAATTACTAATATGATTCAGCTTCTAAACAACACACGGCTGTCTAGTTTGAAAAGACTATTTCCAGATGGAAAGAAAACTTTGAGCCTCAGACACTGGCTACAGACAGGACCCATCTGGTAGAAGACACACTGGCCAAGCACAGGGTCTGTGCTCAGCCACAAGTGCATCGCTCCCTAGGGCATCCAGCTGGTAAAACAGGACAAGGGCAACTTGTGCCTTTTAGTAACAAAAGAACTGAATTTTAAGTCAGTGCCAGTGTTGACCGCTCTGAGGCTCAGGGTCCTTGGCGCTCGCCAAGCTCTACTCTGCTCTCTGATGTTACAGAGGAACACGTGAAGGGCAGTCTTGATGGAATTACACCCAGTGATGGGGAACAAGAACATGCCTATCATACAGTCAGACGATACCAAACAGGCTTTCTTTATGCAGTTGCAATGAGGGACATAATTTGATCCACAAATTATATTTGAACTCCTGCAATAAAGAGTCATGTTATAGTAAGGTGTGCAAAATCACAAGAGTACTCAGACATTATTTATTAAGGAAAAAGCTGCTCACAGTTACCCCCTCAGGATCACAGAGTAAAGGCTGAGCAGTCATCCCCCCAGGGCCTGGGGCTGTTACCCGTTTCCTGATAGAGGCGATTCCAGTCCAGAGGCCTCACTCAAGAACAGGAGGGGAAAGGAAAATTTTTGGCTTATAACAGATTTTGAAATATCTAAAACGCAAATCTTCTATTTTGGGTAATAAAAGGGCTGAACAGTGAGTGAAAGGGTCCTTTCACCTACAGCAAATGTGTGTACGGAACCCTGCTGAGGGCTGAGGTGGGTCAGCTAATACGCTGATGAGAAGAGACAAATGTCATAATTTAACCACTTTATAGATGGCACCATCTTCAGATGTGGTTTCTGAGGAAATAAGCAGCTGTTGTTTTAAATAATCCCTAAAACCCAAACAGCTGCCAAGAATTTCACCGGGAATTCATCAATGTCTTCACTAATTTGTGTCTATCATGGAAAAGGCCTCTAGTTCTTTTCACAAGGCTAAGAAACCCAGACAGCAGAAACCCAGTGGCCTATGGCCTCAGGCAGGGAACCCAAATCAGCAAAGTCAACACCAGAGACACAGCCCCAGGGCTGGGTGATGGGTGAACACCCGTCAGGATGGGCAGGGCCAGGTGATGGGAAAACACCCACCAGGACGGCCGCTGGCAGCTGAGGCTGCTGCCGTGTGGGCACCTGGGGCTAAGCTCACGAATCCCTCAGATCAGGAATCCAGACTCTTATATGACGTCTCTTGACTTAAATGTTGACAGTTAGTTTACAGAAATGTTTAAAATGCACTGCAGCTCTAACAAAATAATGCCTGTGAAAAAAAAGTTAAATAGTCCAAAAGAAACATGGGCCAAACATATGAACAGACAATTCACAGAAAAGAACAGCCAAATGAGCATCTCATGATCCTGAGATCACGAGAGGCTCAAACACTCTGGTAACCAGGGGAGGGTAGGCAGCAAATTAAAGTAACAAGGAAGCACCTCCCACACCCACCAGAATGGTAAAAACAGAAAAGGAAGGATGTCTGTGCTGTAGGGGTGGGAGACAGTGTCCTCTCACGGGTTGTTAGGGGGGCAATCTGGCCACACGTGATGGAAATAAACATGCCCATTGCTTCTGACCAAAAGTTCGGCATCTGGAATGAAGCCCACAGAGATAAGGCTCTGGTGCTGCAGACAGGTGCTCACTAACACTCAGTGAGGTGCTCACTGCAGCACCAGCATCGTGGCCAACGCAATGGCTGCAGAGACTTGGCCAGCCACGCTTGGGGCTCCTGACCAGCCTTCAAAGAAGGAATTTGGAGCTGCATCAGTGAGAAAAACATGTAATAATATGATCAATATAATCCCATTTTAAAAAACAATGACCAAAAACCTAGCTGTTTAGAGAGGCCTGTAAAGAATCATGTGAGAATGCGGCTGACCCGGATGGGTGGGGAGGAGGTACCGAAGGGGGATGGAGGGATAAAAACAGCATGGGTGAGGTGATCCCCTTATGTAAAATCATGTATGTCTCTGTATGAAAACACAAGTGTTAGAGAAAGGCCTAGAGGGTTCCAGGGCTCACAAGCTGCCAGTCTGCAACTTGTTCACCCCTGAGTCCCCAGGGAGCAGCACAAAATAAACATCAATATAATTCATAAGAGAAAGCCTTCAAAGTTTAACTGTCGAGACTAACTTCCCACTGACTGCCTGCTCACCATCCAGGGTGACAAGAGACATGCACATACAGGCCCTTTAAATCTGGACCTTGAGCACCACTGTCAATATCGGACCATGAAGAAGTATATTTTCTCTCTAAAATGGAGCTGTTTGTTAAATGCACAACCCACCACCGTGATAAAACACTGAATGGCAGGGAGACAAGCAGCGAGCCAGTCAGGGCATGTACCTCTGAAGGGTGGTGAGTGACAAGGGACACAGGAGGAGGGTTGGGAGAGAGCAAGGAAAAGCCCGGAGGGAACAGATGCTTACACAGTTGCGTTTCTTGCATAGGAAGACTGAGTCTGAGAGACTGCAAGGCTTCTTTTCTAACATTGCCCTCAGCACTAGTCCCCTGAGACTTCCTTAGGTTGTCATGGAAACCAGCCACACCTGGAGAGGCATCAGGACCCAATGGGCTTGTGGTGGGACCGGGAGATGACAGAGGGTCTGGGAACTGTCGCGGTGGCCCGTTCTGACAGACGTCCCCCTTGCTAGGTACATCCAGGCTCTCTCCTTCATCTGAAGCTCTGCTGACCTCGACAATGGCACCTGGAAAAGAGGGCATGCTGGGCCATCACAGTTTTAACAACTAGATCATGTTGTTTTTCAGAAACACAACTAAAATAGGACAAAAGAGAATCGTGAGCATGAACCATCTCCCCATCCTATAAATCTGTTCACTCTGAGAGGAGAGCAGGTCCTGGTTCTTCTCCTGTGGGCAGGTGACGTGGGACAAGTCATCCTTATCTGTGGAATACCTGCACTCCCACACTATGGTCGTAGAATTTAACTAGTAATATTTCCTTTTCATTTAAATAAGATCAATGAGAAATCTTATCAAAGTCTTTTTAAAAATATCAAAAGAAAACAAATGCTTAATACATAGTGGACAACGTTCCTAACACGCATTGGTAACAGCAGCCAGTGCTAATCACAGTCACAGACTCACATTTATGAAGGGATGATTCCAAAGTGATTTCAAAGCATATGTTTATCCTCCAAAATGAGAAATATAAGGCAAAGAGGTTAGATTTGCAGATTTGCTGATCAGAACAACTATGGCAAAGTTGAGTACAGAACCCCGAGTCTGTGCTTCCGCTTGATGAACACTTATTAGATAAAACCCAAGTTTAACCAATGATGACTATGCACTCATGCATCAAGCTCAGTTTCACCCACTGACATTACTATACACAGACTTGTTTATACAATAACTAAAACCTATTTCCTTATCAAAAAGAAAGAAGGAAGAAAGACTTCTTACAATTAAATAATTTTTAGTCTTTTCCCTGCTCCCTCACCCTGCTGGGCCAGTCAGTCCGCAGTCGAAGAAACAAGACAGATGTGGAGGGAGGGAGGAGGCGTGCGGGGGTTTCCCAAGAGCAGCAGTGCCCAGTCTCTCACAGGAATCAGCATCACTGGGATCCCATGATGTACCTGGTATGCACCCAGGAAATTCCCCTTTTGCCCAAGCAAATTCAAAATGTGTTTCCATCACTTGATATGTGAGTCCCAACTAATACAGCTACCCTCTCTCACACTTCCCTGGAAAGAAAACCAGAATACAAACAGGGCGCCACAGACACTAAGCAGAGCGAGGAGACCCAACCACAGCCCTGACACAAGTGTCTGCACTTACACAAACGACCCCTTCAGCTCCCCTGCTGGTTGAGGGGGGATGCTGCAGTTCAGATACAAATTAATCAGGTCAATACCACTTTCTGATGGGTTTATACATCTGGGGAGAGTCTCTACACCTTTCCATTTACATAAAAAAGTACATTTTCGAGCATCATATTGCACTTTAAAAAAACCTAAAAGTAAGAAGAAGAATTGTTTCCAAACATATACCTAATTATGGATAAACAAATAACAATGATGACAATGATGTCAGGACAATAACAAAAACGGCCACTACCACTTCCTGGACGGTTCCTGAGTGCGTGCCTTTTACGTGTGCCATTTCTTTTAGCCTCACAACTACCCTAAGATGCAGGTGCCATTAATCTTCCATTTTAGACATGAAGAGAGTGAGGCTGAGATAAACTAAGGATCTCGCTGGAGGGCATAGTGGCAGGTCTAAGCACTGGCTCCCTGTCTGTCCCACTGTAGAATCCTTGGTCTGGGACTCTTACTGGGCTCACCTGGCATTTAAGGACAGAAATCAGCAAAACCGTTTTAGATGCCTGAACATCGTTTTCCAAGAATTAGAATGTAATTTCTGCTAGTAAATCAGTTCGTACATATGCTTCGATTTTCAAGCAGACACTGCACTGACCCTCCTAACAAGGAAGAGGTATGAGAACTGAGTGAACGATTCACCCTCTACTTCTGATGCACAAATAACCCATCAACTAATGTGCAAATGTAATCCGATAACCCTTAAATCACAACTGGACCATTTCCGGATCCCAGTTAATAAAATTCTGGCAACCAATCAACCCAAAAGGTAGACTGTTAGGCAGGGAACAATAACGTATCAGTGAAGACCCATAGAAGGCTTAAGAGCAAACACTGCTGCTCCATCCTGCTGGAGCAGAGAGTGGGACAGCTCCTCTTCTACTGAACACACATGATGCTTGATTTAAAGTTGGCATCAGCTAGGAAAAACACTTGTCTGTGTACTAAAAACACTTGTCTGTGTACTAAAAACACACTTTGAATGAACGAAAAGTTCATTATGATCTTAAACACCACAGTCTTCCTCCAAAATGCAAGCTGGCCCATGTCCTCCTGTTTAAAGGCAAAATGTCAGCAGCACACAGAGTAACTGGCAACTTACGCTGTGCTTCATCATGTTGGTCAGGCGGCGCCAGCAAGCCCGGGGACTTTGGGAGGGCCTCAGCATGAGCTGAGGCACCAGTGCTGGATCCATCCTCCAAGAGGCCATCCTGCACAGCAGACGCACCATCCATGGTCAGGACGACACAGGCTGCGCTGACACTTAGGGGCTGCAAGTGAACTGCTAGCAAGCTTGGTTTCTGCCATTAGCAACAGCCAAGAGCTTCTGGGGAGGACTGCACTAGGTTTTCCATTCTCAGGAGAAGATTTAAAGTCTCAAAAGTGGCTTGAAATCAAACCAAGTAAAATCATGATACCTGACAGGAGGGGAAAGAGAAAGGTTTTATCAATCTTCATTTGTCAGACTGAAAGTAACAATCCCAAGATTAACATTTGATTCCTAAATTGCATCATATAGTAAACAAATACATATTTACTGATTCAACAAATAATCCTAATCACCTACAAGATCCTAGGTTCTGAGTATAAAAAGCTGATCAGCCACACCTGGGCCCATTCCTGAAGGCACTCGTGTCTGTATCAGTGCCGGCTAAAGACCAAGCTGCAGGCACAGAAGCTCCATAATTGGCTCCGTAACCATCACAGGTGGCCACTGACCCAGGGGTGGGGCTTGGGAGACTGAGGAACTGAGTTTTTACTTAACTAATTTGAGTGTAAACAGCACATGTGGCCAGCAGAGTCTGTACTGGACACGCAGGCCCAAGTGCTCACAGGGCAAGCTCCCCTCCCAGGAGACCTGGTGTGACGGTGCCCAAGGCCACAGCTTGGATCTAGAGGGGCAAAACAAAAGCAGCACTGTGTGAGACATGGTGACTGTGCACTGTATGGGGGAAGCACGGGGACGAGGATGCACGGAAAGGCAGCCACTTTGGACCAGGGGCAGAGAAAACATCTCACAGAGGTGACTGGTCCCATCTTTCATTTCTAGCAGGATTAACTATGTTTTAGATCATCCTGGGTTCTAAGTTTAAGGGAGGAAAGCTTTGCCCAAAGTTTGGCAGTTAGTTATCCCTTCTAAAGTGTACTGAGGATGTTATCAATTTGCTTCCTCATCAACAGATAAGGTGCAAGCCATCATTCATTCTGCAGAAATGCTGGCATTTACTTTACTTAAAATAAGTTTCATATTATCCTACATACTGTTCTGTGTTTCACATGTTTCAGGACAAAAATGTACATGACTTTCCTCTCCAGCTTACAAAACCCACAGACATTTCATGTAAGACCCTAAGCAGTGGCCCTCACAAGGAGGGGCTGACACTGACTCAACAGCAGTAGGACATAGGTGCACTTGTTTTTCCAGAAGCATTTACTCTGATAATCCTCTCTCACCCTTTCACCGTCAACAGGCACCCACTGGTGGCTGGCATAACCTGGTCTACCTATGCAGCCAGTGACAAGTGACGGGAGTGTCCTTCTGTGCAAACCCAGGAATGTTTAGCTCACAACTCTAACAATCCACATGTTCTTCTCTGCCGTCTGGCACCCTACAGGCCAAACACACTATGTGTTAACAAAAGTACTGTGAAGAATATAAAAAGGTTAGGTCTACTAAGAAGTGTAAAACTAGCAGTAAAGGTTTGTACTACAAAAGACTGTTGATTGAAATATGTGAAAACGTGGATAATTACTATCCAGCGTAGCTAACCAAAAAGCACTGGGTGCGGGGCTGGCGCAGTGGCACAGCGGTTAAGTGCGCACGTTCTGTTTCTGGCGGCCCAGGGTTCTCCAGTTCGGATCCCAGGTGCAGACATGGGCACTGCTTGGCACACCATGCTGTGGTAGGCATCCCACATACAAAGTAGAGGAAGATGGGCACAGATATTAGCTCAGGGCCAGTCTTCCTCAGCAAAAAGAGGAGGATTGGCAGCAGTTAGCTCAGGGCTAATCTTTCTCAAAAAAAAAAAAAAGCACTGGGTGCCAGTCTGGCTCATGGTGCCTGCTTCATAGAAGTATTTGAAGACTGAAAGGACATCTGAGTCAGAGAAATGGAGGGAGTTACTGAGGCTGGCCAAAACGTGATCCTGTGTGCAAGTTCTCAATCTTGTTTCATCTCTGCAACAACCAGTAACCTCCTTCATCCCTGGAGAGACTTTCCAGGTGCAGGGGTAGACAAACGGGCCCTTGGAGGCTCCACACCTCCTTGCACATCCCACAGGCCCCAGCTCCATGGAAAACCACCAAAACTCCTAGCAAGCCTGCCCCTCTACTACAATCCCAGACACCCCACTCCCTAAGAAGCAGCTGGGGTAAGCCTGCCAGGCCAGAAGAGAAGGCTGTAAAAAAGCAGCCCATAAAGCAAGGTGAGGCACTTCAGCCAAAGAATGGCCAGGCTGCCCCTCCATCACCGGCTTGCTACTTCAAGGACACATGACAACAGATAGATGTGTAGGAACAAACATGGCGGAATGCGGAATCAAACTGTCACTGCACACAGCCTACTGTACGTGCTGGTCATCCTAACAAGTTCCTCGACAAAAGAAAACATTTGCATTTTGCTTTGAAATGTCTTTATTTCTGCCTTGTGGGGAGCAGGGGTGAAGATGTCTAAATCACCACTGTATTGTCCACGATGCCCGGAAGGGTAACAATGATAGACGAATAATTTTCAGGCAGAAGCTGGTCCCTCTGCTGTGGACGCCCTTCTCCCCTTGACCAGCAGGCAAATTCCCATGGATCCTTCCACATCTACCATTAGGTGCTGCTCTGAAGTCTCTCCTGGGCCTCAGGTAAAGCACTTGGCCCACCGCCTTCTGCCATCACATTACCCTCTGCATGCACACCACACTGCAATGTGTGTCTGTCCATCTCCTCCATCACGTTGTATGATCCTTGGAAGCAGAAACCACTACCCCAAGACTGCCCCTACCACTTCCAACATCCCCCAATCAGAGCAGTGCTCGACGCAGGCTACTGACTTAATTCCTTGGCTTTCACTTCTTAGTGACCAAGATAGTGTTCCCAAACAAAATGATACAGTATTTGCATCCTTGAGCATCAACACTGCCTTTTCAAATACAGAAAAATTCTATTTCTACTAAAAATACTTGGGAGCTACAGATTCAGTGGAGGCAAAGAAAGCCCCTGAGAATTAAAAACTGAGAGAGCAGCTTGTAATGGCCACAGCCCAGATAAGCAATGTCACTGGTATGAGAAGGAGGAGCAGGACAGCCAGCAGGGGTGGACTTATCTACTAAAGACAGACATGCCAACCAGAGAAGTGGGGGCAGAGGGGCAGCCAAGGAGCCACAGAGGAGAATGTGCCACCACAGAGGAGTGGCACATGGTGACAATGTCTGACGCTGACGCTGTCCAGAAAGAGGAACAAAGGCCGAGCCGTCTGAGGCCCACTGATGAAGGCACATCAAACACGGAGACAAATGCATCAGCCCATCTGAGCCCAATGCCATCACAGACTACATTCACTCAATTCCTTTTGGATTTGTTGCTAAACAAGAAACCTTCTAATTCCCAAGTAGTCCTACCCCCTCCAGAGATGCACGGTACAGCTCTCCAGAATAGAGAACCCGTGACTGTGACTGGTCATGAAAGTGGCTCCTGTTCACATGCAGCTCCTCCCGAAGCCAGACAAGACACAGAATTCACTGACTGCCCAAAGCGGCCTCTGGCAGAGTGGCACTTCTGTGGGTACTAAGCCGGCATTCCCTGTCTATCCTCAGTCTCACATGAATTTTACTTAGTATAACTCAGTTGTTCAGGGCCTCATTACCTCAGACTGCTGACAAAAACAAACGAGGAGGAGGGTCAGACAGCAGAAGCACATCACCAGGAAGCTGTTATTAGTAGCACTGCATTTTGTGATTTAAAAAAATAATAATAAATAAAGAGGTCAGTCTTATCATAGTACCATTCTGACCACCTGCATTCCACTGTGTTTCCTGGAGGGAAGAGACCGGACAAAGCCACGACTGTGAACTTCACAGAGAGTTCACACCTCTGGGCTCACCCCTGTCTGACATCAAGGGACTTCATGCTGAGAACCACCGTCAGGCACCTGTGCGACTCCCAGCTTCCCCCATACAGCAGATTACACGAATTCGGTATAGACACATCAACAGCTCCATCCCCCCACCTTAAGTTGTTCCTATGGGCAATTAGAAACAACAGAGTATGGCCAAAGATAAAACAGGCTTCCCTTAAGAAGATAATACCTAGTTGAGGCCACACCAGTAACCAAAAGTGACCAGAGACACACAAAGTGAAAGCCCTGAGAAACCCCGTGTCACTGTACAGCAGCGCCAGGTAAAGGGTGACCCCGGGGGCAGGAATCCCGGCTCCCAGTCCCGACGCCTCTACCCTCAGCAGGAGATCCTGGGCAGACTTCTAAACCACAATCAGCCAGTTTCCTCATTAGCAAGATGAGAAAAAAGACACAAAATCTTTGCCAGTACTGAATGCAACAAGGCACAGGGTCTGTCCTAGGCCCTCAATAAATGGTAGTTATTACTATTAGTGTAATTTTCCTTTCAATTGCTTGTCAAAATTAATAGGGAAAAGCCAACTAAAGATATTCTCACTTAAGAAGGTATACTGCTGCTTAAGGGAACTGGCCCAAAAAAGAGCTACTTTTGAATGTGAGTAATGTCAGACGCTTTTTCTTTTCTTTTCTTGCTATTCAAGGTACACTGTAACTGAAAGCCATCATTCCAGTAAAGGGTTATGTTTGCAATTAAAGGGATAATTTAAAATTTTTTAAAGTCCATGAGTCACCTGCGAATGGCTCACGCGGACCCAGCGGTTTTCAATCACACTGACAACAAAATCCGAGCCTCTTACTCCGCGCGGCCCCGCCCACACTGCACCCTGGTCCTCGTCACACCCTTATGACACTCCTCTGCCCAGGAACACCGACTCGGGTCCTCCCTCAGGGTCCTCACACTCGCTGCTCTTTCTGCCCGAAGCCCTCCTACCCCGCAATTCGGCACGGCCAGCCTCTTGTCCGAGGCCCCGGCCCCAACGTCACCTCCCTCCAGACCCCCGCGCACCACCCGACACGCTCGGCAAGCGCCTCTGTATCAGTCGGCATCCCCGACGCAGCGCGCGCAGCGACGGGGGACGCGGCGCGACTTCCCCTGCACCCAGGACCCAGGGCGACGCGCCCGTCGCACGACTGACACAGCGGACGTGGGCTCCACCAAGGCCAAGCCGCAGGTCCGTTCCCTGGGCAAGTGTGCCCGCGCCGCTCGGGCACCCCGGGCACCCAGACCGAGACGCGCCGAGAGAGGGAGAGGAACCGCCACCCGACCCTCGGACCCCGGCTCCACGACGGCTGCCGTCCTGACAGGACTCCGAGGGGGCCGAGCGCGCGTGACGGGAGAGGCGCTGCGCGGGCCCGAGGGGAAGGCGTTCGTGGAGCCGGCCCGGGCCCCCCGCGAGCAGCGGCACCAGCACCCGGCCCTCGCGTCCCCGACCCCCCGCCGCCCCCCGACCCTCACCGGCGCTGCGGAGGCCGCGACAGGCCAGCCCGACTGCTCCGGCGGAGACGTGGCCGTGCGAGGGGCGGGACGCGGTGCAGCGCCGCCTCGAGCCCCCCGGACACCGCCAGCGCGCGCCGCCTCCGTTCCGGAAAAAGAACGTCCTCCTCTGCCCGCCGGCAGCCGTCCTCGGGCAGGGCTGCTCTGGACGAGGGCCAGGGTGACCCCACTCGCAACTAGCCCGACGCAGATTTCAGAAAGTGAGTCTGCGCCTCTTTTCCCGGTAGAAACGTAGCTCGCAAGACTTGCAGGACCAACTCCGACAGGAAGCCGGACAATTGAGCTTCCGGCGGAAGTGGCGTGGCCGGCGCGCCGGTCCCTGCCCCACCCCGCCCATCCCCTGAGATTATGGGCGTGACCACTCTGGCCCCGCCCCGGCCCCGTTTGGGGCGTGGCTAGTAAACGCGGGGGCGGGGTCATGTGGCAAGGAGGTGGGGGCGCGCTGGGTCCTCCCCACCGCCCCTCAGCACCCTGAACCCCGAACCTTTTATCCCGCCCATCGTTATTCATCTTTCCATCTTTTCATGGTTTCATCTTTGCGTTACAGCAAGCCCTAATATGGAGTAGTGGATTCCTATCACTTTCTTCTTTTTCAGGATTGTTCTAGCTATTTGGGGGCCCACGTCCTACCATATAACTTTTAGAATAAACTTGTCTATGTCTACAAAAATCCTTCCTGGGATTCTGATAGGAATTGCATTAAAACTATAGATGGATTTGCGGAGAACTGACATTTTTACTATGTGGAACATGAACATGTATGTCTCTCCTTTTTTTTAGGTCTTCTTTGATTTCTTTCATCAGCATTTTGTAATTTTAAGCATGCAGATCCTGTACATGTTTTGTGAAGTTTGCGCCTAAGTATTTCATTGTGTTTGGAGTGATTGTAAGTGGTATTCTGTCTTAAATGTTGGTTTCCACATATTCATTGCTAATATATGGAAATGTGATGAAATTCTGTGTGTTGTGCTTGTATCCTGAGACCTTGCTGAATTCACTTATTTGTTCTAGGAACTTTTTTGTTGTAAATTCCTTGGAATTTTCTATGTAGACCATCGTGTCATCTGCAAGTGCAAAATTTAACTCAAAATAATTATGGATTTACATGTCAAAATATATGAATCAATAAAACTTTTACAAGAAAAATAGGAGAAAATTTTAAGGTCTGAGGACTTGGCGAAGAGTTCTTAGACATGACATGAAAAGCACAATCCACAAAAGAAAGAGATAGATTGGATTTTATCAAAATTAAAAACGTTTGTTTTGAGAAAGACTCCATTAAGAGAATAAAAAGACAAACTACGGACTGAGAAAAATTTGCAAACCACAAATTTGATGGACTAGTACCTAGAATATATTAAGAACTCTCAAAACTAACGGTAAAAAAATACTGGGCCGGCGGGTGGCACAGCGGTTAAGCATTTATGTTCCGCTTTGGTGGCCTGGGGTTTGCCAGTTCGGATCCCAGGTGTGGACATGGCACTGCTTGGCAAGCCATGCTGTGGCAGGCGTCCTACATATAAAGCGGAGGAAGATGGGCACGGATGCTAGCTCAGGGCCAGTCTTCCTCAGCAAAAAGAGGAGGATAGGCAGATGTTAGCTCAGGGCTGATCTTCCTCAAAAAAAAAAAAAGAAGAAAAGAAAAGAAAAATATGATTAGGGGGCCTGCCCGGTGGTGCAGTGGTTAAGTTCACATGTTCCACTTCAGCGGCTTGGGGTTCGCCAGTTCAGATCCCAGCTGCGCACATGGCATCACTTGTCAAGCCATACTGTGGTAGGCATCCCACATATAAACTAGAGGAAGATGGGCATGGATGTTAGCTCAGGGCCAGTCTTCCTCAGCAAAAAGAGGAGGATTAGCAGCGGATGTTGGCTCAGGGCTAATCTTCCTCCAAAAAAAAATACAATTAGAAGATAAGCAAATATGTGAAGAGATGTTTCATTGAACAGGATATACGGATGGCAAATAAGCTTGTGAAATGTGTTCAACATCACTGGCCATTACAGAGATGCAAATTAAGACCATCAGGGAAGCTAAAATAAAATAGTGGCAATACCAAATGCTGGCAATGATGTGGAGAAACTAGAGCTCTCATACTTTGCTGGTGGGAATGTAAAATGGTGCAGCCACTCTGGAATATAGTTTGGCAATTTCTTTAAAAATTAAACATATGCTTAATTATATGACCCAGCAACTGCACTGCTGGACATTTAACTCAGAGAAATGAAACTTATGTCCAGACAAAGGCCTGTACACTATTGTTCACAGTAGCTTTATTTGTAATAGTTCAAAACTGGAAACAACCAAAATTTAACCAATCCTACAGTGGATGAATGGTTATACAAACCACGGTACATCCACACCGCGGAATTCTACTAAGCGATGAGAAGAAATATTGATATGCGCAACAACTTGGATGAATCTCAAGGGCATTAGGCTGAGGGGGAAAAATATCAAAAAGACTATACTGTTATGATTATGCTGATATGATGCCACGTATGTAACATTCCTGAAATAACAAAATTATAGATATGGGAAAAAATTAATGGTTGCCAAGGGTTATGAATGATGGGGGTGGCTATGACTGAAACAGGACAGGACGAAGCAGGTCTTTGTGGTGATGGGCAGTTCTGCATCTTGATTGCAGTGGTGGTTCCGTGAATCTGTACATGGGCTAAAATGACATGGAACTGTGCACACACTTCAGACCAATGTGAGTTTCCTGGTTTTGATATTGTACTGCAGCTATGTAAGATACAACTAATGGGGGAAACTGGGGAATAATTAAATTAGCAAGAAAAGTGTGACAAACACTAAATCTAAATACAAACAGAAGCAAATGAGCCTAATTATATATTAAATTGATGGCATATCCATGCAGAAGAAAAACACTACTCTAAGTAAAATTTTTAACAGTTTTATAAGGTATTATTTACATACAATATAATTTACCCATTTCATGTGTACAATTCAATGATTTTTAAAGTAAATTTACAGTTACATTTACTACATTTTAGTAAAAAAACTGGATTTACTATGTTTAGTAAATAAAACTGAATTTACTACAATTCAGTTTTGAACATTTCATAACCCCAAATGATCCCTCTTGTCTATATGCATACAGTCACTGCCCATTCCCCCTTCTCTCAGCTCCTACCAACCACTAATCTATTCTCTATCTCTATGGATTAATCTATTACGGACATTTTGTACGAATAGGATCACACAATATGTGGCCTTTTGTGATTGCCTTCTTATTTACTTAGCATAATGTTTTGAGATTCATCCATGTCTTAGCATGTATCAGAATGCAGTTCCTTTTTATGGCTGAATAATAGTCCACTGTCTGGATATACCACATTTTGTTATCCATTAATTTGTTGACGGACACAATCCAGTGCCTCGAATGGCCTGGGCAATGTTCTGTGTGTAGGGGGTTAGATGGAGGAAGAGGAGAGACGAGATCCCCCACTCCAGTCTAGCTTCGTTTGTGTGGGAAATACCAGACATTCAGAGCAATGACTTACGTGTGTTGGAGTCAGAGGGCTGCCAGTTACATGGGGTCGTCATTCATTCAGAAAGTATTCATTGTGGGCAACTGTATACAAAGTGGTATTTTAGATGCTGTACACAATCGCTGCTGTCATGAGGTTACACTCTGTCAGAGAACTAGGCGACAAACACAGACAGGCAAGACAGGAAGTGATGAGTGAAGAGAAGGACCGGGTAAGGAGGGGTGAGGAGGCATGCAGCTATTTCAGACGGATGGTATGGGGTGGCCCTCTGCCATGAGTGTGAGCAGACACATGAATAAAGTAAGAAAAGGAGTCATGGAGGGAACTGTGGGATCAGGGTTGCAGGATCGGGAACAGCAAGGGAAACCATGTATTCAAAGGTTTCTCGACGAAGTCATCCTTTAGCTGAACTCACATGGCGAGGAGGCGTGTGAAGCTCTGGGAGAAGAGCTTTACAAGGAGAGGGACGTGCACGTCCAGAGGGTCTGCAACGAGGCTGAGGGGGCAAGCCGCTACGGTCCGTCAGAGCGCTGGGAAGCCGTCTGATGTGTTTGAAGAGATCACTCAGGTGCCTTCCAGATGTGAGTTGTGGGGCAGCTTGAGCCTTGGGCTCTGCTGGCCATGGGCCTGAGGCTAAGGGATGGAGCACAGCGGGAGGGCTGAGGCCGAGTTCTGGAAGTAGTGCTCAGTGGACTTGCTGATTGGGGGCGGGTGGCACTGAGGAAAAGAGAGACTGAGGACAACTCCTTGGGGATCCAAGCCACAGGTGGGGGCTGAGCCATTTTCTGAGATGGGGGAGACTGCGAGGACAGGCATGGAGGGACAGGGCAGGGCTCTGTGCGGGAAACAGAGTTCTTTTTGCCAAGTGGAGTCTGCAGGCCGGCACCTAGAGATGAGTATTTGCAGTTCAAGGGATAGGCATCTCCTACATAGATCCAAAAGCCACAGGGTGGAGGAGCATCACTGGGGAGCAGGTGTTGCTGGAGCAGGAGGGCTGTCTCATTCATCAGAGTGACCCCAGCCCAGGGTACATACTCAGCCACATCCCATCAACAAGCTAAGGTGCCCACGGGAGCTCAGGTGAGCATAGAATTCTCTACCTCTTACTGCAAAGCCTCAGAAAACACTGGACCCCTCCTGAACACTGAAAACCAAAGGAGAAGCGTGTGGCGGGGGGTGGGGGTGGGGGGCGTATTAGCTTCCTGCAGCCGTGTAACAAATCACCAGAAACTTAGTGGCTTAAAACACATGAATTCATTCTCTCACAGTTCTGGAGGTCAGACATCCAAAATCAGGGTGTCTCAGGGCCGTGTTCCTTCCGGAGGCTCTGGGGAGTGTTTGTTTCCTTTGCCTTTTCCAGTTTCTAGGACATCTCTGGGCTACTGGCCCCTTCCTCCATCTTCCAGAGCCTCACTCCAACCTCTGCTCTGTCACTGCATCTCCCACCTCTGACTTTCTTGCCTGCTTTATCAGGAACTTGCAATTACATTGAGGACCCACAGGATAATGCAGCATGATCTCCTCATCTCAAGGCCCTTAATGTAGTCAGCAAGGTCCCTTTTACTAGATAAAGTGACATATTCACAGGTCCCAGGGATTAGGACGTGGGCGTCTTTGGTGGCAGAGAGCATTGTTCAACCTTCCATAAGGTGTTAATAGTATGTAGGTTTTGCCAAGAAAAACCATGTGATTTTTATAAAACCCTGTGGAGTTGCACGTTTGATGATAAGTGTTATGGGCTGAATTGTGTCCCCTAAATGTTGAATGCTCTAACCCCCAGGACCTTAGGATGTAACTGTATGTGGACACAGGGCCTTCAAGAGGTGATTAAGGCAAAATGAGGCCATATGGGTGGGCCCAATCCAGTGACTGGTGTCCTAATAAGGGGAGATCAGGACACAGACACGCACAGAGGGACGACCACATGAGGACACAGGGAGGAGATGGCGTCTACACGCCAAGGAGAGAGGCCTCAGGGGAACCAGCCTGCCCTCACGTGGACTGGATGTCCAGCCTCCAGACTGTGAGGGATAATTGTCTGCTGTTTAACCCCCTGGCTGTGGCGTTTCTTATGGCGCCAAGGAAAACACACAGAACTACTACCGAGAGGAACACCGCTCACAAGCCCACGCTCGCACACATGGCAGATGGCCATAACTCCTGGTCTGATTGACTTCCAACATTTCATTCCCACACTCGTTCGAGAGACGTGGACTACTGCCAGTCTGCTGCTCTAAGACACAGTCCAGGCTCACTGTCTTTAGAAGGAGACAAAAACGTCAAACAAAAATGAGAGCACGCATTAGGTTTAGCAGAGGCAAAGGAAAGAGCCGCCACCTGTGCCTCGGGGAGGACTCCCACTCAGTGGCGTCTAAGCTGGCCTTCACTGGATCTGCTCACTTGACCATCCGCGATCATCATATGCTGGCCACATCAGGCGTTCTGGCCGAGTATACAACAATGAGCAAGAGAGGAAGTCCCTGCTCTGGAGTTTTGAAGGGGGAGAAAAACAGTAAGTAAATGTTTACTTTCCAAAAATGACAGGCATCAGGAAGAAAACCAAACAGGTTGACACTAGAGTGGCTGGGTGGGGACCCATGTGGTGGAGTGGCCAGGGGTCCCCTCTGAGGAGCACATCTGAGCTGACCCTGAGTGATGATCCGGTGTCACCATCTGGTGCTCTGTAGGAGGAGCAGTAAGGAGGAACCGGCACACGCCAGGGCCCAGAGGCAGAAACACAGTGGAAGACTCTGCAGGTGGGGTGGGTAGAAGGGGAGGTTTCCTGGGGGAGGGCAGGGGCAACCCCATGCTGGGCCTTCAGAGGCCATGATATTGTCATTGGTTGCTATGTAACAAGCCACCCCAAACGTAGTGGCTTCAAACAACTCTCTTATTTCTCATGATTATATTGGTTGAGTGCAGTGGTGTACTGGTGTTTAACAACCTTCTCGCCAGAAAAGACAAAAACAAAATGACCCTGATCTGTAGCATTTACCCATTTCTGTGGTGTGAACACTCCCAGCAGGGCCGGTTTCAAGCTCCCAACGTAAGGTCCACAAATGGGTGGGTGGGAAGGGCTGTGCACCATCGTAGAGAACCTACACCAGACAGATGCACAGACGCAAGTGCCCACGAGAGCACAGGTGATGGTCACATGGAGTCAGTTCATTAGGAAGGAAGGAGTCCTGAGGGCTTATTACCTTTGTTTTTAATATGAGTTATGAAATCCAACTGTATATGACTTTTTAAATGGCTGTGTTTAGGTCATCAGCTCATGACATTCCTGAGACCCTAACAATTATCTCCTGGGAGCTGGCAGGTGGCTCTTCTGCAGGTCACCAGGACTTGTGGTGCACTGGCCTCCTTCAGCTGGCAGCTTTGTGGACTGGCCTCCCTCCCACTTCTCTGTGCAGCTGAGACAGCAACGGAGAGCAGGAAGGAAGATGCATGGCCTAGCACTGCTCCATTCACTTTTGCTGACATCACAAGAGACAGGATAGAAAAGAGGACATTTGAAGCAAGGGGCACACTTGGAACAAAGACACGAACAGCATGTGGCATGCCCAAGGACATGCCGGAAGATTCTGCCAGGAGATAGGGTAATTGAGACGCAGGCTGAGAGTTGCCTCTGTGCCAGGCTAGTCTGAGCCCTTCACTTCTCAACACCACCTGCGGTAAAAACTGTATTGCTTCTGTCTCATAGAAGAGGACACAGGCTGAGAGAGGCTGAGAAGCAGTGGGAGTGAGGAGACGAGAGTGACAGAGGCCAGATGGGGCCACACTCCAAGGGCACCCAGGACTTTGGAGTTAACTCTGCAGGGAGCTCCGAATCCCGCCCCGAAAGTGTCTGGCTTCCTCCACATCCCCACCTACAGGCGGCCTGGCGTTTCCAAGGGGAGTACCTGACCTGGCTGGTGCTCCCTCCAGACCACCACCTGCACAGTCCCCATTTGGGTCAGGCCTGGGCGGGCTCTCTGGCCTGCCGGGTGTAAGCCCCGGCCCTGCTGACCCAGAGCCAGTCTGCTTTCTTCATGGAGACATTGCCCCTTCCTCTTCCTCTTCCTGGGCTGCCCCTGCCGTGCCCCACCTCCCTGGGGGTGCTAGTGCCCAGGGAGGCAGTGAGAGGCTCAGGTCTGGCCCATCAGTGATGGGGTCTGAGATGAACTTCCCTTGGAACCAGTGGGGAGGCTGCCAGCTAACCGCTTCTGCCTGACGGAAGCTGAGGTCTGGGGAGCAGCCATTACAAACAGAGGGAGAGGGGGGTCCCAGGACAGCATCCAGCCTTCTTGGTCCAGTCACACTTGGTCAGGTCTGCCCTGGGCTTTTCGATTAATTCCCCCTTTTTGCTTTTTTTCCTCCAGAGAAGAGGTTAGTTTGCTAGTGCGGGCTGCTGATGTCCACTGCAGTGACGAGCCCACCTGATTCAGAACCCAGCTACTCGGGGCCTCTGTGCTGCATGAGGGCCTGTCTAGCTGCAGGGCCCCAGCTGGTAGAGGCCCGCCTCAGACTCCACCTCCTCTCCCAGTTTGGGTACTTCCTGATGGCAAAATCCACGATGCCCCCTGCTGCTCTCGGCTCTGGGCTTGCAACCTGATCCTGCTATCTCCGCAGCATTCAAGATGACTTGTTGGGTGCCAGGTTGCAGCTCTGACAGATGCTGGCCCAGTGAGGCCTCCATGGCATCAACCGTGCACCTCAGAGCTCGGACCCACACGCCAGGAAGGCCTAGTGTGCAGCCCTTTGGAGGGTACATGGCAAATGGGAAGTGTGGGTAGGGATGGCCCCTGTTCTGTCATGGGGCACCAGGAGCCCAAGAGGGATGAGGGCCTGGGGACGGGCTGAGCAAGGCTGTGGAAGGACATGGGGGGCAGGAACCAAGCAGTGGAGACCCAGCTGGGCCTGCTCTGGGGCTTGTCCCAAGAAGCCGGAGATAAGTAGGTGGGTGTCTCCCTCTGCACAAGCCAGCCACACACCCCAAGGGAGCCTGTGCCACCAGGAGAGACACACACATCAGGGCTCCAACCCAACTGTGGGCTGGCTGTGGGGTGGGGTGGGAGGGTGCTGAGGAGCAGGAAGTACAGAAAGTCATAAAAGCACTGCGTGAGAGCACACTCATTCAGCTCTGTGGAACAGCTTGTCGTCATCAAGCCTGGAGATCAACCGCCCTAGTCTCAAGGCTCCTCAGCGTGGGTTAGAGCCAACCAGCTCTGTGCTGACCCCACGTGCTCATTAGAAATGGGGTCCCCAAGCTCTAGCAGAGTCAGCTCCATACCATGGACCCTGAGTCTGATGAGCCATGTGCCCTTCCCTGCAGGGACAAACCCAGCACAGCCTGAGGAGAGGCGCACGTTCTGTTTAAACCTAGGCAAAAAAAGGCGGGTCTATCCTCTAAGGGGCCAAGACTTGGTTCTTACTTTTCAGGAGGGGGAGGAGGAGGGAGTGAAAGGGGTGATGAGGAGCGGAGGGCAGGCCTCACTCTGCACAAGCTGAGCCTGGGGCTTAGACACAGAGCCAAGGCTTCGACTCGACCAAGAGGCTGTGGCTCCCTTGGGGTGGGTGGACCTGAGACCCCAGGCCTGTCCCCAGGGCTCAGACCTGGGCCCCGACCCCGAGGCATGCCTGCCTGCAGGGCCCACTCATTCAGTGTGGCAGCCCTGCCAAGTGGCCTCTGGTGGCAGTAAGTAACTAGCGCCATCTGCAGCCTGTCGCACGGTGATGGGAAGGGGTACACTGCAGCCCGCACACAAACACACACACGTTCGGGGAGAGAGACAGACACGGCTTGTTTATTAGGACGCGGAAGGGGGCTTCTTCCACAAACAGCGCTGCTTCTCAGAGTCTGATCAAGAGCAAGTCAACAGTGGAAAATTGTATTCCTGAGGAGAAGCAAAAGTTACAATTTTGCAAACAAGCTTAACAGGTGATTTCAACAGAAGATAAAAACTTTTTTCCTTTTTACAAAGAATAAAATTTCAAGTATTATTCCAGATGACACGGCAAACCCCACGCAGGAGGAAAAGGCAAGGACTAGCAGAAGCAAGGCCCCTGGCCGTCTGCATGGGAAGGGGCGCTGTGGGCAGGCGGTGCCGCCAGGGCTGGCCTGCGCATGGCCCACGGCTGCACAGGCCCAGAGGGAACGGAGAACACGGGCACCGCTCAGCGGCCTGCAGCAAGCACCAGCGCTTTGCTCCTCCGCAGGCTCGAGATGGTGGCGACCCACCTATGCCTGCCGGGAGGGGCCACACTCTTAACGTCGGAGGTCTAGCGTTAGCAGTTCTGGACATCTGATGATTTTTTTTAATAAACGCAAACATACATTCTTTCAAAAACCATACAATCCCCAATTTTAGTCAATTTGAAAATTATAAATTACGTTATTTGTGCTACAGTTTGTGATATTTAAATCTTATTAGAAGATAAGCACCAAACCTATTAAAATAAAAAACTATGAGACGCTGTGGCTGTCCCGCGGCAGGGCACTCCGCACGGCCCGTGGGCTGTAAACTGCTGCTCCCTTTCCTTAAACGGCAGAATGCTTCTGACAAACTTTCCTTCTCCCAGGAAGCTTTTCTTGAAGAGAGACATCCGCTGTAACCACAGCTGTGGGGAAGGTACAAAGAGCACACCTGCATGTCGCCATCTTGACAGGAAGGGACGGCTGAGGGCTGCTCTTCCAGCCGAAGCGCCCTGAGTGGCCCAGGGCTCAGAGGAAGTTGTGCCGCCCAGGCTGCGGGGGGTCTCACTGAGAGGGTCTCACTCCACAAAAGAAAGTCACACCAGAGGGTAGGACACAGAGACCCCCAGTGTCCCCTGAGGGGGACTGTGAAATATAAACATTTTAGTTTATATTCGGTATTTTCTGAAACACGCCATCAGTGACCTCCGATGCTGCCAAGCCATCTCGATGCCTCCCTGGATGCTCAGTTCTTGAACCTGGTCTGTTCACAGATGTGATTGAATTTCCTGCAGGGAGAAAAGAGTCACATTATACAATGGGGCATCAGAGAAGCCTTCAAATAAACCAATTCTGAAATTGCATACTGAAGGAACTACACGGACAATCAACTATGCACGCACATAGGGGCTGCAGAGGCCTATTTTTAATAACATCAAAGAAACTAACCCCCAAAGGCAGCCTTCCTCTTTCCTTTTTAAATTTAAAGTAAAAGTCAAACATCTTAGGTAATTTTCTAGAGAAGACTTGAAGCTGCACCTCCCCAGCACCTCACGGTGCCACGAACCACCCGTGAGGCTGACGGGCGTGCCCACTGGGTGACAGTACTGTCACCTTCCTGTCCATGAAGAGCAGGGCACCCCCGTGGGAGACGGCACGCCTCTGCTGCCCCTGCCCGAGTTTTTATTGACAGAGGCTGGTGGGTCAGCAGTGAAGTCTCCTTTCTCACAATGAATGGCCTCTCCCACGCACTGTGCAGCTCAAACAGGAAGCAGAGCCATGCCTTGGAAGGAGCTGCCTCTCCAGTCCTCACTGTGTCTCCTGCACTAAGGGCACTCTGTCAGTTACTTTAATTAGACGACACATGACGGGGATTACAGTTGCTTCAAACAGCATCAACACACGACACTGACTGATATGATCACTTCTCCTACGGTTTAAAAGCGGAGGTGAGCTTACTCCAGCAGACAACCCATGGCTGTCACCAGGAAGAGGCCTTTTATTAAAGACTCCGTGGGAAACACCTGGTGAGAGTGACCCACTCAGAGCCATCACAGACACCCACTCGTAGCACCAAACACAGACAAACACATGTGCACAGCGACATGTGCACGGGGCCCATGGCTCCGGAAGGACGTTCTCATTGACCACAGTCACTGATTTGGAAAGTGCTAAATGTCAAATGTGTCAGCTGGGAATGACAGGCTGTACTCTGGAGACCTGGAGGTGGAAGACGCAGGTGAACGTTGGCATGCAAACATCTCATGAAGCAAGGTAACAGAAAAAGAGCAGAATTTCTAAATGATAATGCTATTCTATACACTACGTGACTTTATAGATGCACAACCACTAAATTAATATGTTTTTAAGCAGATCATTGAACAGTTCATGGACATTCCTAAAAACTGAGATATCAACGTGGTGAAAACACTTAAACAAAAAAAAATCACTTTCCTGTTGATAAAAATGGCAAGCAATAGGATATATTGGAGTATATGAGGAAGCCATTTGGTGTAAAGCTGATTTGGCCTAACTTTATTTTTTTTCCCAAAAGGGTGTTGAGCACACATTGTATATCTGCTTTAAGCCTTTGCTGTCTCCCAAAGGCAAGAACAAATGCCCTTAAGATAAAGTTGAACTTCCCCCACACTGGCATTTCCTTAAGGATAAGCATCTCTCTCTAGGCTAGGAACTGATTGCTGTGCTCACCTGTGACCACCCAGCTCGAGACAACAGACCTGCCACGCTGCTGTGCCCACCGAGACAGCAGACCTACTACCTGCTGTGTCCATCAACGGCTGTGCCAACAGGGCAATCTTGTGACTTTATAAAAGAATCGTTTCAATCATGTGTGACACGTGCTCTTGGACAGTACATAACCACTCCATACACCCCACTTCTTTGGAGTGCTTCGTTCCTTTTTGGAAGGATTCTCCCAGGCTATACGGTCCTCATGTCTGGCTCATAATAAACTCACGCCAATTTTGATGTATAGATTGGTTATGGATTATTTGCGTCGACACTGTTAGGAAAAGTAGGGATTGGGGCCAGCCTGGTGGTGCAGCAGTTAAGTGCGCACGTTTGGCTTCAGTGGCCCGGGGTTCACGGGTTCAGATCCCATGTGTGGACATGGCACCACTTGGCAAGCCATACTGTGGTAGGTGTCCCACATATAAAGTAGAGGAAGATGGGCATGAATGTTAGCTCAGGGCCAGTCTTTCTCAGCAAAAAGAAGAGGATTGGCAGCAGATGTTAGCACAGGGCTAATCTTCCTCAAAAATAAATAAATAAATAAAAGGAGGGATTGATTCCTGTAGGACTGTTTCAGCTCCCCATCTAGCATGAGGACCCGTGCTGACACTCCTGTGCCCAGCCCAGCAGAGCACGTGTCTGACTCACATTGCATGGTGGGCCTTCACCTGGGTACGGCAGTTGCGGCCCCAGTAGCAATCAGGACGGGACGTTACAGCCACTAGGAAGAGAAAAAATTACATATGTGTAATAATACATTTCACACTTACACACTCAGCTAAGTGAATTTAAGTAGAGACCCGAAGAGAAACAGCAGCTGAAACGCACAGCATTTTGTCATGCTTTATATCTAGTTTCCTTGGACTGCTCCAAGATTTTAGGAAAGGAAAGAAATGTTTAAATAAAAACGAATTTCGGAGTAAGACTACTCCAGTAGTCTATAGGATGTTTTTGAGCATCTTGTTTTAGAAACTCATGTCACAGCAGACAGGCCCAGAGCCTGAGCTGACACCAGGTAGAGGACGGAACCCACGTTACGGCAGATGGGCCCAAAGTTGAGCTAACATCAGACAGACCATGGTCCGGAAATAAGCGCAGCCCTCACACAGCCTCTCTGCCCAGTTTCCTCCTCGCTGACGCAGACATCAACTAAGGACGCAGAGCAAAGGCCCACGTCAAGTATCCATCCAACATGAAGGAGAGCAGGAGCCAATCCCAACAGAACACAGTTGGGGGCAGGGGGGGTGCTGCTTACCTGGCAACTCAGATGGAGGAATGTTCTGCCGATACTGGTAGGTCAGCTCGCGGAAGCTTCGCAGTCCGCAGCAGTAGCACAGCACGGTGTTCCCGGTGACCCTGTAGTCTGGAAGGGACACCCACGGGTGCGGCCAGCCATCAGGCAGTGCCACACTTCCAGAACAGCAGAACACACATGGCCTTGCAAACTAGTGGGAAACTAACATACTGATTCATAAATGGGTGAGAGACAATGCACTAGAGGCTTGAAAAACAAGAAGAAAACCAATTGAGATCTCAATTTATTTCCTTACAACAAAATAATTCCACTTGGAGAAAAAATTCAAATATTTTTAAAAATCCAAAAAAGTACTCAGAAAGATGAGTATTATTCTTCTCTTCAGCTATTTCTAAGCATGTCACGAAAACCAAATGGCACATAGGAAAGGATCTGTAAAATTAACTGCCTACAGCTTAAGCTTCACAATGGAAACACACACAGCAAAGGTGAACTACTGATGAAGTGGTGCAAAATGTATCTGCAACACAAATGACAAGTGTTGTACCCTTAATTAACAAACACACCACCAAATCCATCCTCCCAAATCCAAATGGTCTAATATAAACATGGGCCAAGGTCACACATAAGCAAATGACCCATAAGACAACATCTTCAATTTTGTTAATAATCAAACATGGGCAGATAAAACAATGCTTTAGCACTGTCTCCCTGTTTCATACAGACAAGGCCTGAAAGGCAAACGCAGGGCTGATGGGCTCAGGGGGCCGGCCCTCACACGCCGAGGCACATCCTTAGGGAGGACAGTTCACATGACAAAGTCTCAGCTGTGTGTACCACTCTCCAATAACCCTATTTATTCACCCTAAGGAGACAACTCTTCAAATCTCCAGTACTGCAAGCTCAGCAGCTACAGTGTTGTCTCATATAGTGAAAAGCTGGAAGGGACTTAAAGACCCTTAACTAATGAACTGGCTGAATAAACTACGTTAGTGTACTGAACAACAATTAAAATCAAGGTATAGAGGGGGCTGGCCCCATGGCCGAGTGGTAAAGTTTGTGTGCTCCGCTGCAGGCGGCCCAGTGTTTCGTTGGTTCGAATCCTGGGCGCGGACATGGCACTGCTCATCAAACCACGCTGAGGCAGCGTCCCACATGCCACAACTAGAAGGACCCACAACGAAGAATATACAACTATGTACTGGCGGGCTTTGGGGAGAAAAAGGAAAAAAACAAAATCTTCAAAAAAAAAATCAAGGTATAGACCTTTATTGACACAGAAAGGGTCCCAGATATACTGTTGAGTCAACAGTAGGTTATAAAACAGCACATACGGTAGGATTTCACTTATGAAAATTGTGTACACGCATGAGCATATGTACTCAGAAGGGTCATCACAAAAACATAATCACTGGGTATATCTTTAGGTGGTGGGATTTCCGATGACTTTTACTTTATCCTTCATACTTCCCTGTACCACTCACATTTTCTTTGTGAGCCATGTCATTCTTATAAAAACAATGAGCCATTAAAAAGCAAAAAGAGGGGCTGGCCCAGTGGTGCAGCAGTTAAGTGTGCACGTTTCGCTTCAGCAGCCCAAGGTTCACCAGTTTGGATCCTGGGTGCGGACCTATGCACCACTCGTCAAGCCAAGCTGTCGCAGGCGTCCCACATATAAAGTGAAGGAAGATAGGCATGGATGTTAGCTCAGGGCCAGTCTTCCTCAGCAAGAAGAGGAGGGTTGGTGGCAGATGTTAGCTCAGGGCTAATCTTCCTCAAACAAATAAACGAAAAAAGCAAAAAGAGTTAAGACCCAGCTGATAGATTTAGGCAACCCCACAGAGCTGCCCCAGCATCCGAGATACTCACTAGAATGTGTCCATGAGACAGAAACACCTTAGAAGATTGTAAGTATTCCCTGGAAACCTCTCAAGTCTTTTGTAATAATTTATGTCTTTGAGAAAAAGTCACTTGCTGGCTTTTCTGCAGCTTCCATCAGTGACAAAAATCACATTTGACAACGCACTGGGTGTCCCTGGGAGAGGACGTGAGCCTTCACCAAGTCACCGACACAGAGCAACAGGCCAATGAGGACCCTAAGGGTGTGGGAACAGCTAGCCCCCAGATCTCGGCGCTGAGCAGAGGTGGAGCCAAGGTCTCTCCAGAGTGCCCTCTCCTCCCTCGTGGAGAAAAGATCCTAGAATGCATCATGTGGGCTCAAACCCAACTTTCAAAAAAATTCTGAAAATATGAGGACCTTTCTGTCTGTCTCTGCCAGGGTAGACAGAAGCTAAAGTTGTGAATGTGGGAAAGCAGACAGCAGTACTACCAAGGTGTGGCCTGGCAGGTGTTCCTGTATTATAGGAGCAAAGGCACCCCGGAAGTGCACATCACCCCAGAGGGGGAGCAAGCACGATGCAGCTCACCAGACAGTAAGAAGAGTCCCCTCTGCAGGGCCACGAGGCTTTCAGCTAGCACGTTCTTCCACGTCAAACCCCTGGTTGCCAGGTAGTTCTGCGATGGGGAAACAAGGGTGACAGAAGAAATACTATCTCGGAGAAAGAAATACTCAAATGACAAGAGGGTGAACATTCCAGAAAAGGCCCTTGAGGTTGGGTGAAGCCAAAGCATAACCAGCCTAAATGTGGCAGGCATTTGCAGAGGGCGGCAAGGCCGTGTACCACGTGCAGCTATGGGGGCCTCCTTCCAAGACCATGGCTGAGGACACCCGGGACAGCCCAAGGACCAGGACGCTTGGAAGAGGCCCAGGATGCCCGGGACTGATGTGGTAGCACATTCACAAACTGGTGCACAAGGATTCTTGTCTGAGATGCTTCTTTGGAGCCTCAAAAGGCAGGCCAGCTTTAGAACCTTGAGCGTAGGAGTTACCACTCTCTCTAAAATTCTGCAAAGACATTCCTGCACAGGAGTGGTGAGATATCCAGCCTTGGCTGGAGTGGCCACAGTGCAGCAACAGGCCCATGACCACGTGACAAGGGAGCTGAGGGTCCAGATCTGTGCTCTGCCCTTCAGACACACGGAGAGGCCTGGCTCCTTTTGTGCAAACCTACAACAAGTGCCCCTTGGACACCTAGCCAGAGTGTGGTAGTGCTGAGGAGCATGCCACGCAGGTGAAGAGGCCCTCAGTCCTGTGTGTGATGCTGGATGTAAACGGGGGTAAGGAAGCTTCTCAGCAAGAGACTGACATGCACATTACACACTGACATTCTAGGAGCCAGGCTAGTTTCCTGAACATGGGAAGGAAAACGGTCAGAAAGGAAGAGTCAGAGAGAGGCCCTGGTTCCACCCAAGAGCCAGCCTGCCCCCTGCCCTGACCCCAGAAAACCTCTGCGTGGGGCAGGGCAGGAGTCGGAGCCATGGGAAGCAGTTCCTGTGGATTCATGATGTGATGGGCATAAAGCAAGTACTGATTTTTTGGAGTATGGGGAAAACAGACATACATCAATGGGGTGCAGAAACTCAGTGGCAGCACTAGCCAGAAAATGCAAAAAGAATCATTCACGGAACTGACGAGTTCTGAGGAGGCCTCTTCTTGGCCTTCGTCTAACACACATCTGCATGCAAAGCCTGGTACCTTCAGGATGTCCGACTCATAGTTGTTGTTGCTCAGCACCCCGTCCAGACACCTGTCGCCCAGGTTGAGTTCTGTCAGGATGGAGGAAGGAACATTATCTGTTTTATAGACACTTGACAAAAGCATGGTTCACCCAACAGTTAACTAAATTTCCTTCATTATAGAGTTCAGAAAGAATAAAAAGTTCCATGATAAAATACTACTTTAAAGAGAGAACAAGTAAAATGACTTCTGTTCCACTGCCTCCTGAAACAGACAGCTCTCCAAGTCTCCTTAGCACCTGGTCTGTTGTCATGGAGTCTGAACACTGAGCCAGACTGTGTGTTTTCAGTGGTGGTGTTCCTTGTGCATAACCCTCCTGACTGTGAAGTCAGTGTCCCCCTAACTGTTCTGTTATTGCTTGGTTTTGAGCTAACATGGACTGACGCTTCTAAATGGCAAAACCTACGCAAAATGTCACGAAAAGCTAATTAATTTGTGGTGACCAACGGTAGCCTCCCCTTCCTCGGGCACACGGAAGACCACACCACCCTGTCACTGCCCTCAGGTGCACCAAGGAAATTTGCAAAGGCCAAAGTGACTCAGCTGAAGAGCCGACATTACCACAGAATGGTGCCAGGCAGCCAAGGCAGCCGGTCCGGGCGCAGCCCCAGTACAGGTGGCAGAAGGGCTGCAGGCAGACAGCACCTGTGGAAACAGAGCACAGCCACCAGGCGGGCATCTCAGGGAGGAAGAAATTCAAATAACAGGGGCCAGCCCAGTAGCACAGAGGTTAAGTTCTCACACTCCGCTTGGGTAGCCCAGGGTTTGTGGGTTTGGATCCCAGGCATGGACCTACACACCACTCATCAAGCCACACTGCAGCAGCGTCCCACATACAAAACAGAGAAAGATTGGCACAGATGTTAGCTGACACAGATGTTCCTCTTTTTGGTGAGGAAGATTGGCAACAGATGTTAGCTCAGGGCCAATCTTCCTCACCTAAATAAATAAATAAATAAACAAATAAAAGTAGGATTAAAAAAGAAATTCAAATAACCATGAAGTAAACGACAGGCTCGCTCTCAGCACTAATCCAGGAACTGTAAACTACACCATTGTAGTCCACCTACTAGATTTAAAAGCGACACAGAGAACTACCGTGGCCCTGATGTGGGGACAGATGTCAGAAGTGGACTCCAGAAGGAGAACCACCCATTATGGAAACTCGGTGTGTGATGGGGGCAGCGTTACCAATTGGTGGAAAAAGATGGATAAGATGGATTACTCAATACAGTCACGTGGGGAAAATTATTACGCAGATGAAAAAACAGAACTGCATCCGCACTTCAAACCATAGACAAAAGTGGACAGCACTGTGGAACCTGAGCCCGGAGGGACACGGGCAATGCTCTGTGGTGCGGAGGTTGCTCAGGCAGGCAGCGTGCACCCACACCCTTACTCACACTGCTGGGGGGCGATGCGGGGGTCCTGCTCGCGCTCGGCCCTTCGGTCGGGCATGGGCTGGAAGCAGCAGGTACATATGGCGTGGCTTCCCTGCAGGGTGCACACGTAATCCTGGGCTGCGGAACAGACAGGATGTCCCGGAGGTGCAAGTCAGGACACAGGCAGAAAGAGAGCAGGTTAGGCCCATATCTAGAGGACACCCACAAAGTATACATGAGGAGAGACAGACCTACGAGAAAACCCAGAGAGAACTCAGTCCTATTCTCCTAAATGGCCAAATGACAGTCTACCATTTAAACTAAGGAGTTGCTTTTTTTTTTAAGATTTCATTTTTTTCCTTTTTCTCCCCAAAGCCCCCTGGTACATAGTCGCATATTTTTAGTTGTGGGTCCTTCATGTTGTGGCATGTGGGACGCCGCCTCAGCATGGCTTGATGAGCAGTGCCAGGTCCATGCTCAGGATCCAAACCGGCGAAACCCTGGGCCACCAAAGTAGAGTGTGCGAACTTAACCACTTGGCCATGGGGCTAGCCCCTAAACTAAGGAGTTTAAATAGACCGAAAAATAGCCAAAGACATCTTTTGGTATAGTGGTTGTATCAAGATTTCAAAGATTCCTTAAAGGTTTTCTACCATTTCCTATAAGGGAAGGGCAGGCCATAAAGCACATACCATAAAACAATAAAGCAAATTCTATATTTAATCTCTGCATCCTCCAAATAAGTAAGTGACAGACCTGGAGGGCAAGACTGGTGGACCCCGCCCCGGGAGCCACGTCCAGGTGGTCCAGCCCCGAGACACTCGTCCACCACCAGGAGGCTCTATCTCTGCATGCACACTGGCTACAGGCCCCATCTCAAAGGGACTTTAGTCTGCACTCTGCAAGTAATAGAGCCCACCTGTGAGTGGCAGAGCCAGGAGCTGGCCAAGCACTGCACTGCCTGTCCCCATCCACTGGGCCTACAGGAAGCCACCGAGAAAGCCACGGCACACTGTCATGGCAGATGGTTAAGAATGTGGCTCTGGGTCACAATCCTGGGTCGGTGGCCTTGTGACAGGCTCAGGCCAACAGTGGCTAAGAGGCTGGGCCCTTGTGGGGCCACTAACCACAGAATGGCCAAGGCTGAAAGCACAGATTGCACATACCCACTTTCCCTTTCTTGATGGCACCTGAGGACTCGCCCATTGGAAACAGGCAGTGACAGAGCTCAGGGAGGCTCTGTTAACACCACAACCTGCTGCTGGAAAGTGGCCAGTCTCTCATTCGAGCAGCCCATGTGTGCTGGTCATTTGCTTCGGCAAGCACCACTGGTGATGCCATCACCAGTGATTTGGCATCACCAGTGGTGTCTGCCGAATGCCCTGAAGCAGAGGGCTGGGGGTGCCAAGTGACAGAATCAAGACTGAATCCCCAGGGGTGTCCAGGAGCGGAGGCCCACAAGTGAACAAGTTAATTATCTGGCTTAAGAGCCCAAAACAGATTATGAGAAGCAACGAGCTACAAGAGGTAGTGGGATTACTTGAGGCAGGACAGGAGAGCAGGGGGAAGCCAGAGAGAGGCCAGCAGAAATGCCAGCCAGCATCCCAAATGGTGACAGCAGAGCAACAGCACGGAAGGCGCGGCTGTCTCACCTGTTGTGACAGTGGCAGATGTTGACGGTGCGTCCCCCGGGGCCTGGGGTGCCCCTGGCTCGCTGCCGGGTCCTGGGCAGGGAAGGGGCTGCCCCGCTTGCCTTCGGTACTCGGGGCACTGTCTGCACACAACGTATGGCTGGCTGCAGGGAAAGAAGAGGCAGACCTGGAGTGTGCAGGAGTGGCGTGACAGCCGCTCTTGTGGGTGTGGGTGGTGGCGACCATGCCCCAGCCCTGACGAGAGCAGACCCAGACCCCCAGGCCCACTGGCCCCTCCTCACGCCTCAGCTCTGCACCATCTGCTGCCACGCAGTGTGTGCAGAGGGAAGGACAGAGCGCCCCCGCCTGGCACCCCGTCAGCGCTCCCTCCACAACAGCAGCTGAGGGCTCTGCTCTCTGTCACCTCCCGGCTCCCCTCCCCTGTGCTTTCCAGAGCCCTCACTCTCTTCAGCTATGCTGGGGTACTGAGACATCTCCTGCCTGCCCTCACTGCGGCACGGCATCTCCTGGGGCTGTGCACTCAGTCCCCACATGGGGCAGGATGCACTCTCACAGGTTCGATGCTGGGGGAGCTACGAACCATGTCCAGAGGTGCACTCAGCCTGCCCAGTGCACTCAGTACTTGTCACCCTGGGCACCGACGGAGTGTCTGCACATCCTTCCCTTTGTTAGAGTCAGAGCACAGTGAGCACAGTTGAATGCTGCTGTCCTCAGTGAGCCTGCCAGCCGGCGGCAGAAGCCCTGCACCACGCCGAGCTTTAGGCACTTCAGCTGAGCTATCACAGTCTGCAGACGGTAAAAAAGAGCCCACAGGGAGGACGAACACAGACGCTTCCCCTCATCTCAGCCAGGGAACACCTTCCTGGGCCTGCCACCAACAGCAGGACCCAGGGAGGGAAGAGTAGGGAAGACCTGACTAGAAAAAGCAAAAACAGTGAAAAGACGTTCAGCCTCATTTGTAAGAAAAACATTCTGTAAATGGGCACGAGGCCACCTTCCTCTCCTGCTACACCATGTCAGCAGGAATGACAGAAATCCCTCCACGCACCCCTCAGAGAGCCAGTGAGCGCCTTTTTGATGCACATTTGATGACACAAGTGTCAGAAGTCCAGCAAGGCATTCTCCAGTAAGACTTCGACCTGAGGCTTCCACCGGCATCTACTCATCTCCACGAAATAACTGGCCACGTGCACGAAACTATAAACGAAGGCCATGCACTGCAGCCCTGCTTCTCAATTAAAATTATCGGAAATAGTACAAAATCTTATGTACGGTATAATCCCATCTTCATAAAAATATTTATATTACATTCTACCTTGTTTAAAAAAAGTATGTATGACTATGTATATGAATGGCCAGATTGATATAAAATAAGGTGTTCACAGTGATTTTCGGTTTCCTTCTTCGTTTTTTTTGGTGAGGAAGATTGTCCCTGAGCTAATATCTGTGCCAATGTTCCCCTATTTTATGTGGGACACCACCACAGCATGGCTTGATGAGCGGTGTGTAGGTCCACACCTGGGGTCCAAGCCCACAAGCCCTAGGCCACCAAAGCAGAGAATGTGAACCCAACTACTATGCCACTGGGCTGGCCCCTTGGTTTCTGTTCTTTTTGCTTGACCATTACTTGCTAAATTTTGTGAAAAGAAACAAGGTTTTGTTTTTTTGTCTGTTTAAATATCATGGCCTCGACTCAAAATCCTTGATTTCTGAGTCAGGAAACATCAGCGTTCCACAGCAGATGAACCAAGGTCTCCTAGGATCACATCCTCTCAGCCAGGTGACGGTGGCTCTTCTGTAATGACATCCTGACAAATGATAAACATTGCAACTTAAATGGCAGAACCTGATGGCCACTAGATAAGCTACAGAGAGTAAGGGTGCTCATGTGGGACAAGAACATATTAAATCATAATCATGACATTTGTCATAGCCCATGAGTCAGGGAGCTGGATGAAGAGTCCGCAAATAAAAGGGTATCAGCTATGTGGTCATCATTTCTTAACAGATGTAAGTCAACCCATTATGGTGTCCACCTAAAACCTACATAGTGCTATATTTCAATTATATCTCAATAAAACTGGGAGAAAAGTGCAGATAAGCAGCAAAAAAAAAGAATAAATGTTCCATGTATATCTGGGGAAAACAAGGGTATTGGAGGAGGCAGGGCAGCAAATACCTTCAGTCACCTGGTCAGTGGCTGTCCTCAGCACCTGCCCCACTCTTGCCACACTCAAGGCAGGTGACGTCACTACCCAACATCACACGTCAGAAGTGAGTCCAGACCACCAGCTGGGAGGCAGGTGGGCTGCTCAGTGCAGAACCCAGACTCAGACACCATGCTGCCTGCCCAGCTCCTGACTCCACTCGGAGCCAGGTGCAGGCTCACCTAACATCCGAGGATTCACTGTCCACATCCGACAGCTCCAGCAGGTCCTCCGAACTCCCCTCCTCATCAGAGAAAGACCTCCTGACTTTGGGCTGCAACATGTCTTGAGTGATCTTGTTCCTGGCAGCCATGCTCCGCACATCTTCCTCACTGCGACTCTTGTCTGCAATTCAAAGAACACAGCTCTGCTGGCTGGGGGCTCCTGGGGAGAGACGCCTCGGGCTCCTGGAGCTGGGCAGGCTGTCCCACTTGCCTGGGTGCTGGAGAAGGTATGCCTCCACCAGGTTGTTGAGAATGTGGTTTTTACAGATCCGCTCAACCGGACAGCGGCAGGTGGGACACAGGGCAGAGCGCTCCATCCAGCCGGAGTAGCAGGCCGCGCAGAAGGTGTGCATGCAGGGCTGCAGGCTGAGGACACACGGACAGGTGTCAGACACCCCCTGGGGCACTCGAGGGTAGAGGATCGGGCCACCGGCTGCAGCATGCTGGGGCACGAGGGGCACGGCCTGCCTAGAGGTGAGAAGCAGGGACTCCAGGTCACGCTGCTTCTTTCCCCAGAGGAGGATGTGGCCTTGCTCAGGCTGAGGGTTGGTTACAAAACAGAAAAGAGAGCGAACTCCCTGCCCAACAAGCCCTCTTAACTCAGCGGAACCTCAAGCCCGTGCTCCTCGTGCGGCACCCACTGCAGGCAGCATGTGTGTCCTCAGCTAACAGATGGGAGACGCCACCTGCCTTTCACAACCCACCTGAGAAATGGTCCCCGCACAAAAACACCGCATTCCACCTAAACTGCTTTAACTCAGTCCTTGTTAATTTAAAGAAGCCAGAGGCACGAGGCAATCCGTATTCCAGGAGGGATAGGAGAGGAGACTGTGACTTAGGCATACGAGGCACAGAGACACTGAGTGTAGGAAAGATCTGAATCTCCGCTAAAATTCGGACAGGCACTAACTCTTAAGTTCCCACAGACAAGCACGGAGGGCTCTCCCCAGGCACTCCTAGGCTCTTCACTCTGGGACACTTGCTGTACACTGACTGTCACACTTCCTCTGCTCGGTTAGTTCACCTGATCCATGCCTGAGGTGGCTCAGGCCACACAGGTTAGACATGACCCATGTCTACCACAGCCACCCCCACATCAGCCTTGGTCCCGGGGCTAGGTTTCTGGCTAGTTGGCCACCCAAGTCAAATGACAATGGTAACCTCAGCAGACTCAACCCCAAACATGACTCAGAATTTGCTTCACCCATGGCCTCTGCTCCAGAGCCCACAGCCCTCCCTGGACGAGGTCCTGCGGCCATGGTGCACTACCTCACACAGTCGTGCAGCAGGTCCTGGCAGATGATGCACGTGAGCGTCTCCTCCATCTTGTCCGGCTTCACGGCCACAGTGCTGACATCCTCGAGGGCTGTGTGGGTGTCTCTACTCTGGTCCGCGACCAACATCTGCAGCTCCAGGTTGGGCTCCCCGTCTGCAAGAGAAAGGGACACGTTCTGACCGTCATGACCAGGGAGGAAACAGACTCTTGGTCTTTTGTTTTACGAACCTCTGAACCTGTGGGCAGAAGACAAAAGTTCTCACTGGTGCTCGCATTTTAAACGGCATTTTTAAGGCCCAAAATCAGCCTCATATTCCAATATGCTTAAATTCTGTTTTAGAATAGTTAACGACACAAAGGACATTTAGGACACATGGTTAAGAGATAAAGGCCAGCTGTCAAAGAGTATCTGTGTATAATGTCACTTTCGTTTAAACAAACAACATGATTCTCGATTCATGGACACGCAGGAAGGCACAGGCCACAGACTCACCAGGAGCTTTAACAACTTGCTTCTTTTCTTCTGCTAATGTGTTTTAATTTTCCTACAATGCTCATGTGTTGTTGATGACAGATTTTTATCTTTAATTAAAGAAATATTTGCACACAATTTAAAAAGTCAAATATTTAAAAGAAAACGGAAGCAGCAGTCGTCTGTCACAGCCTCTCCCCACCTCCAAGCTCCCTCTCAGGAAGCCACTCTCACACCTTTCCAGTTTCTCCTGCATGCACTGCCGTGCCCTGACCTCTAACGCTGCACCTAGGTTGACCGACATCATCTCCCAGCCTCTATTATGGTGGAGAAGGATTTTGCCCCCAGGCCCCCTTCCTAGTACTGCTGTAACACGACTGCTGGCTCAGGATATGGTACTGCTGTTTATCATGCTTAAGTATTCACTGCCGAGACAAATAGAACACTAGAGCTAAGTTTTCTTTCTTATACAATTTTTCATTCTTGCTGGAGTTAAAAATGGCTTCAATTTTATACTTGCTTACCTTTTTCTGTACCTGTTGATGAGTCTTCCCACACCCTCCCCAAGCTGATAATTCAATTTCCCACTCATCACATCAGATAATCTCATTTTTGTCCCCCAGGCCCCTGCTGGAGCCATCCTGTCACACCGCTCCAATCTGAGAGCTGCTCGCAGGCCTGTCAACCAGCTACTATCTTACCACAACATTCCCAAATATTTTTTACAATCTTTTAACTTTAGCTTTTAAAGTGTAGGTTATTCTCTAAATCATCTTTAATGTGAAAGTTCAAACTATCACTTAAAGATAACTTAGTGTTAAAAACTAGTTGTCAGGGGCTGGCCCTGTGGTGCACTGGTTAAGTATGGTGCATTCTGCTTTGGCGGCCAGGGTTTGCAGGTTCTGATCCTGGGCGCAGACCTATACCACTTGTCGGCGGCCATGCTGTGGCGGCAACACACATATAAAGTGGAGAAAGACTGGCAGTAGATGTTAGGTCAGGGCTAACCTTTCTCAGCAAAAAAGAAAAATTGGTTGTCTTATCAGGATAGAGTGGCATTGTTTCCAGACTAGGAGTTTATCCTGATAGTAGACAATTTGATCCCAATGATGCAAACAGGAAAGAAAAGGCCCAGATTTCCATTTGGAAAATGTTGAAGTACCAAAGATGTCAGCCTGAGACAATGTCCTCATGCTTTTGCAGAAGATGAGGCCCCATCGGGAATGGACCAGACAGTCCCATTGGGGCCCCAAGGCACTCACAAGAGGGTGAAGGATACACAGAAACACGAGACTCTGACCTCCTTTCATTCTCTTCTTAATGGGTTCCAAATCTTCCTTATCCTGGGGTTCCAACAGAGAAAAGGATGCTCCCTCTCTGTCTGGGAAAGCTGAAGGGAGGCTGGAGATCTCATCACTTGCCTTGGAGGGACCACACCCTTTTGGGGAGACATCTGCATCTCTGGAGCCTGAGAAAGGGAAGGGACAAACAAGAGAGGTTCTGATTTATCTGCCTTGGAAGGAGAGAGCGTTTGGGGTAACGCACCACTGATTCAAACCAGGTGCAGGTAATCCACAATGCCTTATTTTGAAAATAAATGCTTACTAAAAATACTTGTTTACTCAACTCACATTTCTTAAATGCATTTGTGCCCAACGTTGTGCTCGGTAGAGCTGGGGGCAGGTAGCATCTTCACAGTGAAAAAAATGCAGAGATGTTTGTGATGGGGATCAGCCCTTGCACAGTGTAACATGGGGCCAGTCCACATGCTGGTAATCACGTCACACACACTATGCTCTAGACAGTGTTAACACAGAGGTACAAGTGAAGTCGAGAGCTTCCAGAAGAGGGATGCAGCAGGCTGCAGACTGCAAGGAGATGAAGACGAGAGAGGAGATGGCAATGATGAGTGCGAACTGTTTTCCAGACAGTGTGATAAAGGGAAGGAAGGGAGAGAGTGACTCGCAGGGAAAGTACTGATCTACATAAGCAAGAAACTCAAGTCACACTGAAATGAACTGGGCACAAAGCTATGGAAACTTTCCAATAACTTTTATCTTAGCAAAGACCTAGTTTATAATATGACAGTATAATACATATCTAGTCTATAATATTCATATGGTGTTACTATTTTGAAAAAGCTAGAAACTGGCCTACAGCAGCTGAAAAAAAAAAGTGAGAATTGTTTGGGAACAAATGAACTCGGACACTAAGGGAGGAAAACAGGCAGCTTCCTGGGCAGGTTCTTGGTGCTGGTTTTCACTCCTGCTGTGGTCTCGAGAGCCTTCTGCGCTCAGGAGGGCTTCTCACTCCAGAAGAAGATTATGATGATGGTACCTCCCTGACAGGCACGTGGTGAGAAGTAACTTCACACTTATCAAAAGCCCTTGGTGCCCTACCTCACATTTAGCAGCTAAGTATTAGTAAGTATTAACTATGGTTGTTTTGTTAGTATGCATACACTTAGGCACTCAGATAGAAACATTTCCCCAAGTTGTCATAATTGGAGCTAACCTTTCCATTTGAACAATTTGCCTACAGCAGTATTTTTTTCTGATCATGCTTTTATTCTTTTAAATTACACAAGTAATATACGAATGCATTGCCCTTTTACGGCAGAATATTCCATCGTGTGTGTAGGTATATGTGTGTATATAATACATATACATACTATACAACATATATATAATATACACACACATTTTCTTCACCCATTCATTCATCCATGGACACTTACGTTGTCTCCATATCTTGACTATTGTGAACAATGTTGCAGTGAACATGGGAGTGTAGATTTCTTTCAAGACAGTGATTTCACTTCCTTTGGATATATGTCAAGAAATGGGATTGCTAAATCACATGGCAGTTCTATTTTTAACTTTTTGAAGATCCTCCATACTATGTTCCATAGTGGTTGCCCCAATTTACATTGCCAGCAAGGGCACACAAAGGTTCCCTTTTCTCCACATCCTCACCAGCATTTCTTACCTTTTGACTTTTTGACAATAGTCATCTAGCAGGTGTGAGGTGGTACCTCACTGTGGTTTTGATTTGCATTTCCCTGATGATTAGTGGCATCTTTGCATTGAGCATCTTTTCATGTACTTGTAGGCCATCTGTATGTCTTCTTTGGAAAAAGGTCTATTCAGCTCTTCTGCCCATTCTTTAATCAAACTGTGTTTTTTGCTATTCAGTTGTATGAGTTCTTCATAAAGTTTGGATATCAACCTTTTATCAGATACATGATTTGCAAATATTATCTCCCATTCCACAGGCTGCCTTTTCATGTTATTGATGGTTTTCTTTGCTGTGCAGAAGCCTTTAAGCTTGATGTAGTCCCATTTGTTTATTTTCAGTTTTGTTGCCTTTGCTTGTGGAGTCAAAGCACTGCCCTTTTTTTTTTTTGAGGAAGATGAGCCCTGAGCTAACTGCTGCCAATCCTCCTCTTTTTTCTGAGGAAGACTGGCCCTGAGCTAACATCCATGTCCATCTTCCTCTACTTTATATGTAGGACGCCTACCACAGCACGGCGTGCCAAACGGTGCCATGTCCACACCTGGGATCTGAACCGGTGAACCCTGGGCTGCCGAAGTGGAATGTGCAAACTTAACCGCTGTGCCACCAGGCCAGCCCCAAAGCACTGCCCTTTTAAAGAAATTAGAATATCATCAAAAAATTATCAAAAAAAAAATTATCAAAACCTGACCATTCACACTTACATTGTGCTATACATAAAAAGAGAATAGAAAAAACTCTACTGCTAAAATAGGTTTTCTTTATAGGCCAGAGCTGTTTTGTGCTTCACTTCTGAAGAGTTACAATAACCACAAAACGCTCAGCTTAGGACCAGAGACAAGGCACATTTGGTCTGGTTGGAGATTTGTACTCAATCCCAAATGCCCATAACCTTCCATCTTATCTGAGCTTGTATGTGACACGCTCTGGGGCCACACTCAGGTATGCTGAATACTTCTCTCGGGGCTGCCATTACGTGGGGGGAGACTTCAGGTGAGCGGAACCAGCAGTGGAGCAGCACCCACCCCAGCTGTGTGTGCCTCTGCAATTGAAGGATCCCGGACAATGCTGTGAACGGCGTGTGGGCCTCTAGAACCTGTAGAACTTCAGCCATCCGTGTAGTTTTTCCATTTCTGGCATGTTTTCATCTTGAGAGTGTGATTGCCTTTTCTTTCACTCAAGACTTTGAGGTAATGATGCTAAAACAGAGGAAAATCAAAAGGCCTCTGAGAAACTGGGATTACAGTTTAGGAGTTACCAGGAGACAGGCCAGTGGGCCTCTTTTTGTCACTGGTTTGGTCTACATAGCCCCTCTTCTCTCTGACGTGCTGGGTGAGACTCACAAGGCACTCACTGTCCACAGCCTTTCTTGCTACTAAGCATGGCTAATGAGCATCTAAGAAGCCCTGAAAAGTCACAACCACACACCACAATGGTGTTCCTCAGACAGCAGGGGTGTCACAGATCTGGGAAAAGAGTGAACTATGCTTCTTGGAGCGTGCTGCTGCTGAGGATTTAGGCACAGGTGGGCACAGGGGCCTCTGGACAAAGAAGGTGGGGGGTGCTACAAAGCCATAAGGAGGATAACAAACAGGAAGTGGAGCTGCATGCCTCAAAAAAGAGGAACAGTATTGGCAAGTAAAAAGCCAAATTCACAAAAAATCGATACAGGTTCAAACGATGTGGGAGAAGACCTTCACTCAAGGAGGCATACTGAGTCCTGCGTTTCCTGCCTCTCCTTCCCCACGTCCCACCAGAACAGATGTAAAACTAAGGACTATTCTGCAGCAGAGCAGCCAGATTGGCAAATGGGATGGATTTCTCCAGAAATCTTCTGGGAGAGAGTTCTTTGCTGCTGCTGAGCAGTCGACAGAGCCACTTGAAACAAAAGCCCTTTTCACAGAGGCTCCCCTGTCCTGCTTTTGAATGTGGTTGTGATGGCTAGAGCCCTGGCAGCCATCTTGCAACCACAAGATGAAAAGTAAGAGGACAAAGAGGCAACATGCGATGGACAGAAAGTGTCTGGTGACATCCTGAGCTGATGAGCCAGGGCTAAGCTGTGTATCTCCAGACTGTGTCTGGGAGCCAGGTTTTCTGTTACTCACATCCAATCACACCCTCACTGAAATTTAAGAGGGTCTTCTCTCCATAAAAAGTCTGTAGACGGGCCAGCCCCGTGGCCTAGTGGTTAAGTTCAGCAGACTCTGCTTCGGAAGCCTGGGTTCAGATTCTGGGTGCAGACCTACACCACTCATTGGTGGCCATGCTATGGCAGTGACACACACATGAAATAGCGGAAGACTGGCACAGATGTTAGCTCAGGGCAAATCTTCCTCCAGCAAAAAGAGGAAGATTGGCAACAGATTTTAGCTCAGGGTAAATCTTCCTCAGCCAAAAAAGAATCTGTAGAGTGCTCCACAATGTAAAAATGAGAGAGCAAGCATTCTAGGGATAAATAAGAATTATCCCAAAACTAGCTGAAGAAGGCTATAAAACTTCACTGAAGAACATCAAAGAGCTCAATAAATAGGGAAAAATACCATTTTCCTGGGTATTGTAAAAATGTCCGTTCTCCCCAAATCAAAATCTCAACACTTTTTAAACTTGAAAAGTTAATTCTAAAGATAATCCAGAAGGAAAATAGCTAAGAGAGTAAACTAAAACAATTAATACATAGAGTGTGATCCAATTTAGGAAATATATGTATACATCTATTCTACATTCTAACCCTACAAGGAAACATTCGCGTCACGCTGCACCAAGATGGTCTGAACTTCTTCTAGTGACCGGGGAGGAAAGTAAAGAATTCATGCTGTAAGGACCAGTATATGTAAAACTGGTTAAATCATATGCTCCTCTGGGTGAGTCTTGAAAACATGGTGCCGAGTAAAAGCAGCCAGATATAAGAGGCCACATAGTGTGTGATTCCATTTATACGCAGTGTCCAGAACAGGCACAGCCAGAGGGACGGGACGCAGATTACTGGCTGCCAGGGGAGGATGAGCAGTGACTGCTGGTGGGTACAGGGTCTCCTTTTGGGATGATGAAAATGTTCTGGAATTAGATAGTGGTGATAGCTGCACAACACTGTGAAGACAGCAAAACTAACTGAAGTGTACTTTGGGTGATTTTTATGGTATGTGAATTACATCCCAATAAAACTGTAAAAAATACCACAGAACTATGGGCCCTCACCTTCAGCATTTCTCTTGGGGATGGAAGATGAAGACAATATTTACTACCACTGAGAGCCCGACGCCACCTCTGAATTCCTTAGTGGCTTATCCATTTCTGCGACAACACGGCTCAGGATTAGTGAATGCAGCTCCCACCCAAGATCCCCATCTCACCAGAGCTGGAGGGAGGCACTCGCCCTGCAGAGGTGGGCTCTGTGGAAGAGGTAGAGGCCGTGGGGAAGAGGGCCGACATTGACGTTGATGGCTGTGGTTCCTCAAAGCACACCTGAGTGGTGGGCGACGATGGCAGGACCTGGGGCTCGTCACCTCGCCCGGCCCCTGAGGTATCTTTGGTGACGTGGAACACGTTTTCTTTATTAGCTTCTGTAAGCACAAAAGGAGTAGGAGGAGCGCACTGAAGGCTCAGGTGGAGCACCGCTGCTCCTGGGAGGGCACCCCAGCAGATCAAGAGGTGCCTCAAACAATCGACAGCCCTTCACACGCACCCACTGCTTGGCTACGATCTCACTTACCAAAGCAGTCCTGTGTCATGCTTTGCTTCTCATGCAAAGATTCGTAGAGGTATGCCACATCTAAAAGGAAATTGACCACCTCAGTGCAGGGTCAGCCCACGTACCAGCGAGAACTCATTTTTTTCTTCTGTTGCCTCCAGTTACTTCGCAGTCACTCTGTCCCTGTTGACTATTTTGACTTATCAGCTAGTAACATTCACCAGTTTAAGGGATTTTAAAACCAGTGATCCAGACGACTTAACCAACATTAAAATAATTAAGCCTCAGGAGAAAACGTCTGGAACCAGGAGGCAGACTGAGGGAAGGTGAAGCGACAGCTGGGTGATGAATCTCTGCCTTGCTCATCCTTTCGAACGACCAGAATGAGCAGACATAAGGCCCGTCCGTGTGGCCAGGGGCTGGCTTTGACTGTGCCTGCGACAACCTCAGGAATATTGGTGCCTTCTTCCTGTTTCGGGGGTGGCCTTCAAAAGACTCCCCTAACTCTCCTTCTTCCACAAACAGACACTCACAGCTGCAACAGCCCTAATGGAAGCCAGTCTAACCTCTGCAGTCTCCTTAACGTCTCCAAAAGCGGAATGTCAATGCTTTCAGAGCCTAGAATAGGTCTTATCCCCATAACACAGACTCCTCTATGTCACCGAACCATCCTCATTCACGGCCCCTTGGCTGCCATTCCGAGAGCACGGCTCCTGACCACGTGTCATTTCTGACTGCAAAGCCAACGCTCCCATTCCTCAGCAGACAACACTCACACCCAGAAGCTCTGCCAACAATAAAGGAACGTAGCTAACACTGACCTTCCTACAGGCACTCTCCTTCCACGAGGCCAGCCGGCTGTGGCAGGACTTCCCCACCATACGCCACCCACATGTCCACCCCAGCAGGTCCCCTTCTTACTGTGTTCTGGCTCATTCTTCCTGTACACCAAGTAGATGACATCCCCGGTCTGTAAAGGGCAAATCTGCTTCTTAACAACCTTCAGCTTGTTAATTACCGTTCCATTTGTGCTGGAAAGACAACAAAAATGCAATTTATCCTACTTAAAATAACTTGGAGTTAAAAATGTCTTTTTCTAACACCGCTAGTGAAGCAGTTCAATACCACCACTTTGAAAATGATAAACACTCACAGGAATGACGTCACTACTTAATGAGGCACACACACAAGTGCTGCCATACAATTCTCTTGAGAACAGCCTGCCTGTGGCCCTTACTGACAGCCCGACAGTCTCATCAAGTGTTGAACACCTCCATGCTCCGACGCCACACTCTCCGCCCTCCGCCTCCTGGGGTCGCGGCACTGCTAAGTGCCACGCTCTGATTGCCAGCTTCTCTCCTGCTCCTGCACTCAGCTCTGCGCACTGCTCTAGCCCTCCCTCCCGCAGTCAGACGTGGGTCAGTTTACTCCTCACACACTGATCATGCCTATGAGATGGCTCCAGCAGAAGCAAACAAATGCTGGGCTTCTGATGGGAAGATGGCATGGTCCCTGCAGTTGGAAGGTCGCTCCCGTCAGTCAGGGACCCACTGCGTGTGGGACAGGCGCAGGGTGTCGCGGGATAGACAGAAGCCTGAGTCAGCAGGGCTGGGAAGTACTTCCCTGGGGAGGGCCTCCTGAGTGGACACCCGACACAACTTCAGAGGTGGGTGAGCACAGCCTGGGCAAGGGGACAGCGGGCAGGACAAAAGCACAACTCGGCAAGTGGGCAAACTGACGCAGTATCAGGCACTCAAACCACCCCTGCCTGAACCCTACGGATTCTCTCCTGAGGCCTCTGTGCTGAAGAGGCTTCACTTCTACGTCTGAGCACATGTCACCGCTTTCATTTTCTGTAAAGGGCCAGACAGTAAACAGCTCTGGCCCAACTACTCAGCTCTGCCACTGTCGCATGAAAGCAGCCAGACTACGAACTGCAGGGCCGTGGCCACATCCCAGTAAAACTGCACTTACAAAAGACACAGGGCTGCCACCATACTGCCTGGCTTCCCCTCACAAGCCATCCTCACCCTCTTTCAAACCAAAAGTCTGATTTCACCCTTCTGCTTAAACCCCTCTGATAACTTCTCACTCTCCCAGGTTGAAGTCCAGACTCCCTAGCGTGGACACTGGGGCCTTCCTGCTCGAGTCTACTGCCCAGCTTTGCAATCACCACTCACTCTGACCACGCAGGGCCTGCTCATGCCCCTGGGCCTCTGCACCTGCGGCTCCTTCTGTCTGGAACAGCCCCTTCCCTCCAGCCACCTCAGCCAAGGCATGCAGCAGCCTCCAGCAGCGGGAAAAGGCATGGAGGGGATTCTCTCCCAGAGCCCCCAGAAGGAGCTCACCCTGCCAACACCTTGAACTTAGGCCAATGAAACCTGGGTTGGATTTGGGACCTCCAGAACCATAAGATCATAGATTTGTATTGTTTTAAGCCACTAAATTTGTGGTAGTTTGTTACAACAGCCACAGGAAGCTAATACCGCTGTAGAGGCAGTGTGGGGAAAGCCAGGACCTGACACAGGAGGATGGCTCTAGAACCAGCAGTTACTGTCCATTGCGCTGAGAAATAAAGAACTCCATCTGCCATCTACTAGAAGAGGGGGAGGAGCATCTGTTCTTCCTAATAAAACCTAATTCCTAGTCTTCCAAGAGCGCCCGACCTCTACAGAAATAAAAAAATCATTTGGTGGGAAAGGCACACTCTCAACGTACTGCGGGAAGGGCACCTGCCACCTGTACCAGGTTTAACGCAGGCACATTTGGACCCAGCACTCCTTCCCACAAACATATTCCAAGAAAATGATCAGACATAAATGCAAAGAGCCTTGGAGGAGAGTCACTGCAGTGTCATTTATAACAAGAAAAAGCCAAAACAATAAATTTCCATCAGTAAGGGAGCTGACAAATAAGTTGCTATATAACAATAACGAAAAAGACACGAGAGATCTAGACGTACTGACATGTCAAGCACTCCATAAACATGAGTGACAAAAGCAGAAACGACAATATAAATAGCATAACCTCACTAATACAAAATAAACGTGTATGTATTTTTAATGGGTGAGTGGGATTTTGGAAAGCTTTTCACTTTTGTGTATTACTTATGTTGTACAAGAACTAAGGAAAAAAAGAAAGATTTTTTTGATCAGGGGAAACAAGTCTAACTTGAATAGATTTGAATGAACCAAAAGTTTATTACTGCCTTTTAAGTCGTATTTCTGAGATATTTTTGCTTAAATCTAAATACATTCAGGAAGTGTCACAGACACCGAAGCATCACTGAGCTTCCCATCCTGGAAACCAGAGAATCCATTTCCTCACACCTCGAGAGCCCAGCAAACCACGGTGGCACAGAAAACGAGCCCTCGCTTCTTCCCCACAGTTACCAGCTTCAAGTCAGCTTCCTGAAGCAACACGAGAAAGCAGAAAAGAACTTCAGAAAGAGCTTACCTGGTATCCTCCAGTGATACCTGACCAGATTTTTCATCCACTGTAATTTTACAGTGATCTCCAGAGACCAGCTTATTGCCAGGGAACGAAAGGTCACAACCTTAAACAGACAGGGGACAGGCTGGTTACGACCGTGAGGAACATGCACAACCCGGCCCCTTGCTTAACCAAAGCACATGACTGGAAACCAGGACCCATACTGCACACACACAAGGAGACAAAACTTAATCAAATAAGGTACAAAGAAATTTTTTAAAAAGCATTTAAGTGTTAATCCAAAACAAAGGGATAGGGACTGTGTCTTGAACCTTCCTGACTCTCATTACCTAGAGGATACCCCATCAACACCTCCAGCTACACATCAAGAGCTTCTTGGTGACAATTTTACAATATGCACACATATGCAGCTAGCCTGGTAAATATTACAGAACTTTAAAAAAACTAAGGGGCTTAATTAAATAATCCTTCAGTATCTTAACTCAATCCTTAATTTCTTCTCTGTGTAATCTAAGGTTTCATAAATCATCACAAAATTGAAGCAATGACAGAGAGTCATAGAAAATATGACTGAGCAAATTATCATAGGCATACGCATGTTTAATAAAATTTAAAACAGAAGGGGGATGCGCCTACAGCTGAATACAATCACTCCATCTGCCTTAAATGCAAGGGACAAATTCTCAAATACTTTGCTCTCTCCTTATCAAAAAAATAAAGCTTTCAGGAGCTTTTTAATATCCCATATACAATATACAATAGGTTTATACTATATCTGCTAAGATTTACAGTAGCTTTATTTTTAATAACCTACAGTGGGAAGCAATATAAGTGTCCATCAACTGGTCGTCAATTAACAAACTGTGACACATCCAAACAATAGACCACTACTGATACACACAACAGCAAGGATGAACCTCAAAAGCATTACGCCAAGGGAAGGAAGCCAGACACAAAAGCCTGGTGGAATACTGTGAGTCCACTTAGATGACATTCTGGAAAAGGCAGAACTATAGGGATAGAGATCAGATTGGTGGATGCCAGGAGCTAGGGGTGAGGCAAGGGGACTGACTCCAAAGGGCCAGCAGTGAACTTTCTGGAGTGATGAAATGTTCTACATCTTGACTGTAGTGGTGGTTTCATTTCTCAAAACTCACTGAACACCTAAAAGAGGAGAATTTTAGGGGTTGGCCTGGTGGCACAGTGGTGGTTAAGTTCACGCACCACACTTCAGCAGCCCAGGTTTTGCAGGTTCGGATCCCAGGTGTGGACCTACACACCACTTATCAAGCCATGCTGTGGCGGCATCCCACATACAAAGTAGAGGAAGATTGGCACAGATGTTAGCTCAGGGCCAGTCTTCCTTACACACCAAAAAAGGGTGTGTGTGTGAATTTTACTATATGTGAACTATACTTCCACGGACCTTAAGTATTAGAAATCTTATTTGCACAAACACTTTAAATTATGAGAAGTACTTTGTTACGTTTATCTAAGGCGAATTTCATTTGTGCTCAACATCATCCCAGTACACTGAGCATAACCACCAGGATAGTCTCCTTGCAGCCCCAAACCCAAGACTAGTCACTGTGTCACTGGAGTGGGTTTTCAACAGGCTTCTTCACACTGGAACATCAGCATTCTAATTTGGAACTGAGATACTTTGTGCTAAAGCTCTATTCTTGGCATTTGCCCTGCTTGTCATTCAGTTGGTTCAATCTCTCACATGCTTAGTACACATTTCTGCCACTCCCCTAGAGTGGGGACCTCTTTGGGAAGGCGAAGCCCTCATTTCCCTTCCCACATATCAGTTCAGCTCTCTTTTTTCCTCAAAATAATACCCTGTATATAGCAAGAGTGTAATCATTTTAAAATAAATATAATCAAGTTCTACAACTCTTACAGAATGTTTGTGTGCCACCAAAATTTCTATGTTGGAGCCCCAACCCCCAATGTCACTGGATATAGAGATATGGCCTGTGACGAGGTGACAAAGGGTAAATGAGATCATTAAGATGGGGCCTTAATCTGACAGGGCTGTGCCATTACAAGAGGAGGAGACACCAAGGCTCTCTCTCCCCACAGTAGACACAGCAAGAAGGCAGCCGGCTGCAATCCAGGAAGAGGCTCTCACCAGGAAACAAATCCACTGGCACCTTGATCTTGGACTTCCCAGACTCCAAAATTGTGAGAAATAAATTTCTGTTGTTTAAGCTTCCTGGTCTGTGGTATTTTGTTATGGCAGCCTGAGCAGACTAATAAAGCAACCTTTACATTTTGCTGGAAAGGTTAATACATTCACTGGAAGCACTTCTATTAAGAAATAGACTAACTCAACAACACAGTTTTGCTCCTTGTATCAATGCGTAAAATGATGTTATTACAATGTTGTGTTATAGCAACAATGGCTAACATTAAGTGCTAACTCTAAGCCAGGCTCCTTCTAAGCACTTCACATGTACAATCTCATTTAATCCTCAGTGATTCTATAAAGTAGGTAGAAAGACACAGAAAGGTAAGTTGTTAGCCCAAAGCAAGTTACGTGGCGGTGCCAGGTTGGAAACACAGGCAGTTTGTCTCCAGGGCTTCTGCTCTTCACCAAACTTCCTATTACATCAATGAAAGACAATTAATGCATTTTTCAAGAGTTTCTAATGATATGCAGGTATATTTTCAAATTTGTAAAGAAAGATTTTTTTTAACTTGATATGGGGATTTAAGACCGCCAAAAAAACCCTCCCCAGACAAAAACAGGTGCAGGTACATGATAAGGGGTAAAATAGAACCAAAAAACATTTACTTTTAAACAGGAATCTTTCGAATTCTTTCTTCTTTAAAGTATAACATCAGAGAGATAATTAATTTTCAGACAAACAATATTTTTCTTGGCCTGACCAGTGCACTTTTCTCCCTGCAGGAAGGCTCCAAGCGAGGCCAAAGTACCAGATGGCTGTTCAGGAGTTTAGAGCAGTAAGTGTGAGAGTGAGGGCACGTTTCTCACTAGCTGTGTGACTTTGTTCCAGTCTTTAGATTCCCAGATTCACTAAATCAACAAACATTTGAGCAGCTCTACTCTAAGAGCTGAGACTTGAGATGTTTTTAATGTAGCCATCTACAGCTACAAATTTCCATCCGAGCACTGCTTTAGCTGCATCCCATAAGTTTGGGCACATTATATTTTCATTTATCTGAAGGTATTTTCTAATTTCCCTTGTGACTTCTTCTTTGACCTATTGGTTGTTTAAGTGTGTTACTTAATTTCCACATATCTGTGAATTTTCCAGTGTTCCTTGTAACTGATTTCTAATTTCATTCCATCAAGATCAAAAAAGATGCTCTGTGTAGTAATGTACTTAAAAAGATTGCATTCTGGGGAAAAAATGCACCTACTGCAGAAAGTTGTAATGAGGATTAAATAATTTGCACGAAGCACTCAGAACTGACCGGGCAAACCCATAAGTGAATAAATGGCAGCTCTTACAGGACAGCCCACTCCACTGGAAAAACTGGATAGCACAGCGCGCCCTGCCCAGGGGCCTCCCACAGCCTGGTGGGCCCTGTCTCGCCCAGCCCCCGTCCCCAGGGCCCAGGTCCCCGCCCCTCAGCTCCTGTCCCACGTCCTCCGCCCCCGGTCCCCGATCTCCGTCCTCCAGCCCCTGTCCCACGTGCCCCACCCCACGTCCCCCGATCCCCGCCCCCAGCCCTCGGCCCAGTCCCGCCCCGCACCTCTCCTCCGCCCGATGGTCCACTCGCGTTTCCTCAGGAGGACGTGCGGCTCGCCCTCCTCGGCGCCCAGGCGGAGGAGCCTTCCCCACGGCTGCTGCTGCGGCGGCTGCTCGCCCTCCGCCGGCCGCTCCATCGGATTCACATCTGACGAAACCCGGAAACATCTGTGAGACTCGGGACCGCAGAGGGAGACGCTGGGCCCGCCTCCCCCCGCCCCGCGACCCTCCGGCCTCGGCGCCCACGCCACGCCGCGGCGGGCCGGGCCGCACGCCTCAGGCCTCCCGGGTCCCGCCCGCCGGCCCGCAGCCCGCGCCGTCCGCTTACCCCCCGCCCCGCGCCGAACCCGGAACCGGCTGCGTCGCCGCTGTCAACAGACATTGCGGATCCCTCAGCTGATCCGCGGGGCGGGGCCAGCGGCGTCCGCGCCCTGCGATTGGCTGGCGGTGGCGCCCACCGAGCGCGGCGGCTAGAGCGGAGCCGGGAACGACCATGGAGAGGGGAATGTGGGGGCTAGCGGAGCGTGCGCAGAGGGGAGGATGCGGTCTAGACGCCATCTTTGGTGCTGGTCGGGAGACTTCGTCTTAGCGGATCTCGGAAGTAGTTGCTGGCGGCGCCACGTTAAGTCGGGGCAAAGGGGACCGAGTAATTGGGAGGTTGGGCACCGAGACAAATGCTCAAAGCCGCGTTGCAAGTGCAGATGGCGCTTCGTTTTGCGAAGCGACGGTCTGCCTTACATAGACGAGATAAAATGCACATCGAAACATTCGGATTTCCACAGGTCGGGGGGCGAAGATCGGAAAGTTTGAGGACGCCCTGCAGAGCTCTGGCGAGTGAGGGCAGCCCGGCCGTCGGCGGCCGGAGCGCGAGGCGGACACCTCCGGGCGTGTGCCGTGCCTCCACGTGGAACGCACGCCTCCTTCGACTCGGCTGGAACCCAGCGGCATTCCCGCTGCGCTCCGGAGAGGGAGGCACCGGGTGGTCCCTGCCGGCGTGGAGGCGAACCTGGCTGGACACGGGCGGCCAGCCCGCGGCGGCTGCGGTCAGAGGGCGGGCAGGCGTCGGCGCTGGCAGGGCTCCGGAAGGGGCTTCTGAAAATGGGAAGTGGACGCCCGTGGTGTAAAAAGAACAAGCATATTCAGACTTTCCTGAAAAGATAGGACCTGCCAGTGGGTGCCTTGGGAAGAGAGTCTAGAAGTCAAGGGAGGGAGGGAGACGTCTTTCACTATATTCTCCTTGTGTAGTTTAAATTTTACACCATTTTTTATTTTTACCTTGTTCACTTACTACTGTGTTTTTCTCTAAATAAAAAAAAATGTGAACCTTCTATCCCTGACTGTTACTCAGTATTATTTTGTGGGGGACTGAGGTCTCTGTGCTTGCTCTCTGAACCAGGGCCTGTCTCAGTCCACATGAGGCACACCGTTCACTGAAGCTGACCCAAAGGAGCAGCCCCAGGCTTCTTGGGTGGGAGGCTTCTGTACCACCTGGACAGTGAGCGAGCTCAGGCCTAAGACGCCTGGCAACTTAGCCTTGGTAAAGGGCGTCTCTCCTGGCCGTCTCAGATTCAGGACATAGGAAAGACCAGAATTTAAGATTCCTCTGAAGAAGTTTGGTTTAGAGGGAAAAAAACCAAGTCATAGCACCTAGTTGGACTCTGGGTGTTGGAGACGATATGTGCCTGGCTAATCAGGCCTTTTTGGTCAGATGGAAATAGTATATTCAAGAACACAGCTGGTTCAGCCCCAGCAACATCTCAGATTTACATGAAGAATTGGCAACTACTCCCTGGTTGAAACCTTATCCTCTCTGTCCCTCCCCGTCACCTGAAGCAAATCCACTGGCTCAACAGGGCCCTTGATTCACCTACATTCCCCTAAAGTCTGGGCTTGATTCACTCACGGTTTGGTTTTGGTGTCCAACCAGTTGCAGTGGTTCTCCAACTGTGCAGACATAAAAACAGACATAGTCGCTCTACTCTGGACAGAACTGACGGCCATTCTCACAGCTCTGGCCAATACCTTGATTTTTTGACCCTTGAATTGTTGCCAGTGGTCTAGCTGTCTGTTCTGTCACTTTGAAAAATACTCTGACAGATTAAAGACATTACTCTTTGGGGCTACAGAATATAAAAACAATTTGTGGCTGCCTGTCAGACTGTCCAGGTCAGTCATATAGATGCCGTGGTTCTTTGACGAAAGCAAATAGAACTAAGCTATCAAGCCTACCCCTCCCAGATCACCAACTGCCACCTGCAACAATCATCACACTGGAAATTCCACTGTATCCTCTGTCACAAACTGGCAAAAGTAAAGGATTCTATGTCCCTGACATAGAAGCTAGCAAGTACCTTGCCAGATGGCAAACCTTATACCTTGTTCCATTGGAGGAGATTTGTGACTCCTGCCAAAAGTTGGCTCATTGCTTTCGTATTAATGGATGACACATTTCTCGGGGCATTGACCTCCCTGCTGCTGGAAAACTGACTATATCAGCCCTTTGATGCCTTCTCAGGGCTACCAGTGATGCCTCACCACTCTTGACACTTTTTCAGGATAGAGTATTGTTATTTCATCTGATCAGCCAACTCTGCACACATTGATTTGGCCCTTGAAATTAAACTAAACTCTTTCACGTTTTCGACTGTCTGGACCATCTGCCATCTCACAGGGGTGCATCTTTTGTTACCAAGCCCATTTAATAATGACTTATAGTCAGGGTATTCCAGGGATCTGCCAAGATCCCTCATCGTTTCCTGTTCTACTCACCTGAGTTGGGTTGTTTGGTTACTGTATTAATTTCCCATTACTGCTGTAACTAATTGCCACAAAGTTAGTGGCTTAACACAAACTTGTTATCGAATAGTTCTGGAGGTCAGAAGTTCAAAATGATTCTCACTGGGCTAAAATTCAGGTGTTGGCAGAATGCGTTCCTTCTGAAGATTCTAGGGGAGAACCTGCTTCCTTGTCTTTTCCAGCATTGTTTAGCTCATGGCTTCTTCCTCTTTCTGCAAAGGCAGCAGTGGCGGGTTCAGTCTTTCTCACCATGCTATATCTCTGTTTCCAACTCTTGTGCCTACATCTTTCACTTATAAAGACCCTTGTAATTAAATTGTGCCCACCTGGATAATCCAGGGTAATTTTTCTATCTAAAGATTCATAATTTAGTAACATATGAAAAATCACTTTTGCCATATAAAGCAACATATTCATAGGTTCCAGAGAATAGGAAGTGGACATATTTGGAGGTCACTATTCTGCCTACCACACAGTTAGTAAACTCTGTTGTCCCCAAATAGGGATCATCTCTTGTATGTTTCCTGGACAATGTTCAAGAAAGAGTGGTAGGAAGATATGTGAGATTATATAGACATATTTTAACACTTTAGGTTTCCACTCTGACCATTCCTGGGCATGATGCTTCCGTGTTTCACCCACGAGCAACAACAGACCAGCCTGATTGTAATCTCCTCCAGGTGGCTGTCCAGATGGCTGTCCAAAAAGAATCCTAAGGGATGGAAATAAAGTCAATTCTGGTTCATTCACCTGAATTTTCTTGTTGGGGTGACACAGTCTTGAATCACAAGACTGATAATCACTTGGTTAAGTATACTGCTTGCTGATTTCCCCTACAGTGGCCCACACAGACCAAAGTGGGAGATATCGTGAGTCTCTGAAATTTTTGTAAAAACACTTTTGTCACAATCCACAACTTCCAGATGAAAAGTCTGGGTGTGAATTTGGATTAATTGTTGAAAAGATGAAGGTAAAACTCCTGAGATAAGACATACTGATTCTGTAGCAGTGAAGAGTAAGCAACAATTGTGGCAATTCAGAGCAGGGTGAGGTAAATGGGACAGCTAACACACTCTTTGCCCCCCTCCGTCCAGCACTGCACGCTGATTCAACAGCTGCAGCTGACAATCTGGCCTGCTGCCAAATTTGTCATGCCCACCCACAGCCTAGAAAAACCAAACCAAATCTGACTTCCAGATTCCAGTCCAACATGTAAGTAGCTTGGAAGTATCACTCCCAGCCTCACAACGAGAAAAAAGCTGAAGAAACTGGAAATCAACAACTCTTCTTAGATTCATCAGATAACTGAGGTCACAGGGCAAATACCAGCCCCCCAAATTGTAGAAACAGGCAAATAGAGGGAATCACAGCTTACTGGAGCAGAAGCCACTGCTGGAGCCAGTACCAGGACATTAAAATGTAAACTGGATTGGTAAATTGCTGGAGGCTCCATGTGGACAAACTTGAAAGCTAAAAACTTCAGGGGGGCCCAGCATTAGAGGACTTCCTACAATTTGTTGAGTTTCACCACCAGCAACCAGGCTAGGTTTTTAGGGTGTAGATCAAAGACAAATCACCCTGTACTTCTGGCAGGGAGTGGGGAAAAGTAACCATTCTGAAAACACCTGGAGCATTCTGCCCTCCAGGGAAACTCCCTACCAGAACCTAACCTACTGGCTTTTGTGGGAGCGTGATGCTGGGGAGAGATGAACCCAACTCCAGCCTCCTCCGCCTTCCTGTCTCACCTAAGGTGGGGCAGCAAAGAACCAAACAACCTGAGAAGCACCTGTGAAGGTCACAGCCCAGGGACACAAGCTCAGTGTATGCTGAGACCTAACCCTAAGTCTGTAGAATGCTTCCCCAGCCCCCCACACTAAGGACACACCAGTAGAGCCCTGTGTAAAAAGGGGCGGTGGCTGAAAGAACTGCACAGCTCAGACTTTACTCAAGAAGGGGTCTCCAGGGAAACCCAAGACAACAGGGGACAAAGACAAGGACACCAGAGAGGAAATCTTAGCCTCTATCACCTGCACCTACGGCAAACAATGAGCAGTGTGACTCTTGGCCAGATACACATAAAATCTCACTCTAAAGGCCTAGTTACCTCAATTCCTTTTACCTAATACATCATGTTGCACTTTCAATCAAAAAACTACAAGGAAGGCCAGCCCTGGTTGCCTAGTGGTTAAGTTCAGCACACTCCACTTCAATCACCTGGGTTCAGTTCCCACGGGCAGATCTACACGACTCATCTGTCAGTGGCCATGCTGTGGCAGCAGCTCACATGCAAAAAAGAGGAGGATTGGCAGTGGATGTTAGCTCAGGGTAAATCTTCCTTAGGGGAAAAATAAAAACAACTACAAAGAGTACTAAAAGACAAAAACACGGTTGGAAGAGACAGAGCAAGCATCAGAATCAGACTCAGATATGGCAGAGATTTGGGAATTATCAAGAATTTAAAATAACTATGATTAATATGTTAAGGGCTCTAATGGAAAAAGTGGACAACATGTAATAACAAATGGGTAATATGGACAGAGAAATGGAAATTCCAAGAAAAAATCAAAATGAAATTCTAGAGGTAAAAAACATTAACAGAAATGAAGAATGCTTTTGATAGGCTCATCAATAGACTGGACACGCCAAGGAGAGGACCAG